GTTATATCTTTTTCTATTTCTGTGATACTCCTCTCTTACAATGGTTAGTGCAGAAAGTTTAGAATGTTGGAGTAGGGGGTGAGGGACAAAAGGCTGACAACAAGAAACTAGTGACCCAAGAGGTACTGAGAGTTTGGGCATCTGGACCAGTGAGAATTTTACCTGTACTGAGGCCCTGAATTGGGGAAGGAGCTCCAGGCGCGGCAGGAGAGAGCTCATGGAGGTATAAAGCTGACCTGACCGGCAGTGCAGGGACTAAACAGATGAAGGAAAGTACAGAGAAGTCCTCTGGAGATCTGTTTGGGGAAGAAATAAGAATGGGCGGAGGCGGGGGGGCGGGTAGAACTGGTGTTAGAATGTACACTTTATGCTATATTATCTTCTTTACAACATAGCTTAATCCTTTACAACAAATTTTATTTATTCTCCCCACATTCTTTGAATGGGGACACTAAAGCTCCAAGAGGTTACATAGCAAGATTTAAGTCACACCCCTTAGGGAGTAACGGGGCAGTATTTGAACCCAAGTCCAGGGTCAGAGCCTATGCCCATTGTGTTTCTGCAAAGGGACAGAGAAGGGTTTTAAGGCCCTGATTTGAGGATGGTGGAGAGTGTTCAAGGGAGTCAGGAGACAACAGGAGAAAAGCAGCCACACACTGGGCAAAGAAAGCTTAAGTCCTGTTTCTAATTCAGCCAAGTGTCATTTTATGAACCCAGCGAGTCATCTGACTTTTGTTCAAATCCATCTCCTTTCTCATGAAATGGAAACAGTATGAAGTGCCCTGCTTGTGTTTGGCTGGGGTAAGAATCCAATGAGAAAAAGGATGATGACATCATGAATTAGAAACTCAGCTTGCTCAGTCCAGTTGTCTTCAAGAAATCAGGTGTTAGAATCCAGTGACTCTGCTTTCTAGTCCATTAATCATGTTCTCCTAAGCCCAGAACACAATTAATGGATTTCAACAGATGGGCCTCTAAAATATGTATAGAATAGGATACAGAACATTGTTAACATTTAAAACAGCTGTGACTGATGGGAACCAAATCAGTTTCAGATGCTAATGAGTTCAAACAGGAGATGCTCCAAATTTATTGAACAACCAGAAAACTCTGGCCTTCAACCATATTTAACTATAACACAGAAAGATAGGTATTAGTTCAGGCTCTGCTTCTGGCCATGTAAATTTGCCCACAGGCCCCAAGACTGTATAGGTGAAACTTCAGAGTCATTGCTTTTACTCTATACCATCTTTGCCTCTTTATTAACTCCTCACCCACGTCTCCAGAGGCAGGCACCCTGCCCCCAGAGCTTCTCCCCAGTTCCATCAGTGTGCACCGACTGGGCGGCCTCAACATCAGCACTGTGTTGTCTCACAGTTCTGGAGGCTAAAAGCCTGAGGTCAGGTGTCGGCAGGTTTGGTTTATCCTGAGGCCTCTATCCCCTTGGCCTGCAGGGGGCAGCCTTCTGGCCGTGTCCTCACATGGCCTTTACTCTGTACGTGTCTTCCTGGTGTCTCTCCATGGGCCCAAATTTTCTCTTCTTATAAGCACACCATTCCGTTTGGATTAAGGCCCACCCTAGCAGCCTCCTTTTAATTTAATCACCTCTTTAAAGTTCCTATTTCCAAATATAGTCATATTCTGAGGTACTGGGGGTTTAGGGCTTCAACGTATGAATTGGGGGGTGGTGGCGCAGCTCAACCCATAACAGCAGCCCTCCACACTCTCCTGCTCCCAGGAGGTATGGTCCTGGCTCTGGGAGGAACCCCCTTTTCCTTCCCAGAAGGGCCACTCTCTTCCAGCTGTGCCCTCTCCCTTCCCATCTGCCCTGGCTGCAGGTGGGCAGGGGCTTCATGGCTCAGTCCATGCTGAGGGTTCTGTACCCCATCTGGTGCCCACTCCTGAGGGGTCTGGGAGTGCCCGGGGGCATTTGCCTACTAGTGTCTCTGGGCTCTTTCTCTCACCTAGTCCTAGTCTTCTGCTCTCACATCTGGATTCTTCTCTCTCACTGTGGAAGAAACCTTAGCTTGACATTTCCTCTTCTGTCACCCTGTCTCTCTGTGTCCCTCTCATCTCGGGAATTCTTGATGGATTAGTTGACTCACTACCTGTTTTCTTGAGAATCTCCTCTAGAGCAACTTCTGACCCCATGTCCTGCCCTCTCAAACTGAAGGTGGTGGTGCATCTCCTGCCCACGCATCACCCGATGTTGGTCGTACCTTCTTGGTGCCCTTCGTCCTCCATCCTGGGTCACAGGGACAGTCCCTCCATAGCCCATCTGCCTCATGCCAGCTCCTTACTAGTGGCATCACCTCGGATAAGATCCTGACCCTTTTTCACCTTTCACTGTACTTTTCCCCCAAAGAACTGACCCATCCTCACAGTTCCCATTAATGATTGCATGTTTGATCCCACCAACTCTTTCTAGAATTCTGATCCTGGACTTCTAGCCTATATACTGCTTAAACCCTTTTATCAACCACATTCTCTTAGACCAAGCCAAACTCCTCATCTTTCACTCCCAAATTCCATATTGCATCAATAAAATTTTTCCCATTTATTCAAGCAAGAAATCCCTGAGGAATCTTTGTTCCTGTCTCTTGTTTAGCCCTTAAAATCTTTTAAATTTTCCTCCATCTCATATTTGTATTTTATTTTCTTCAGCCTTTACCAAGGCCAGACCTGGATCAGTTTCTTCTAAGAGTATGGCAATAGCCTCCTAATTGGATTTTCTCATGCCCTGGAATTGGAAGGACCTCCAGAGGTCCTCTAGACTAGCTGGACTCTTGTTTGAGTCAGGATTCCCTGTTACTCAGAACAAAGACCTAACTCGCACATTCATTCTAGACTAGAACTGTCCAATAGAATTTTTCTGTGATGATTGCAATGCTCTCTATCTGCACAATAGAAGCCACTAACCGTGTATGGCTATGAGCACTTGAAATGTGACGAGTGTGACTGAGGGGCAGAATTTTTCTATCTTCTTAAATTGTCCCACCATCTTCATGCCACTGCTCTCTGAAACCAGCCCTGTGCTCCAGCCACCTCCCACCAAACATCATCCTGCTGATCTTCCACCAAACATCATAAACATGACTCTGTACTCTGAGACACTCTGTCCTAATCAATGGGACTCTTCTCTTCAAGTCAGATCATCACAAGGGACTTCCCTGGCAGTCCAATGGCTAAGACTGCTTCCACTGTAGGGGGCAAGGGATTGATCCCTGGTAGGAGAACTAAGGTCCTGCATGCCACACAGTCTAGTTAAATGAGTAAGATTATGCCTGGAAATGTCAGTTAACAACAAATATGCTACCATGAAGAAAAAAAAATTTTTTTAAAGATTATCTTTCAGGTCCACTCTGTTTTGTGTCTCACCTTCCAGCCATCTCCTCACCAGATGCTGCTCTCTCTTTCTCCCTCATTTGAACAACTACATCATGTTGATGGGATAAAACATTGTTTAACTTTCTGTTTAACTTTTATTTTGAAATTTCAGAACTAGAGAAAAGTTGTACTACTTAGTACAAATAATCCTTGTAGACCCTTCACTCACATTCTCCAAATACTGATGTTTTATCATGTTTGCTTTATCATATATTCTCTTTCCTTCTCTGTTTTCCACTTCTCTTTCCTTCTACCTCTTCACAAACATATACACATATACATACATACACATTGTTTTTTATGAGCAGTTTGAAAGTAAGTTTCACATATGGTATCCTCCACACCTATATACTTCAGTATATTCTTCTTAAAAATAAGGACAATATCTTATAAAACCACAGCTATTTGATGTAGAGTGGTTCAGGAAGATCTCATTGATTAAGCAACTCTTTCCCATTTTTCATATTAAGGTATACTTTTATACACAATAAAATTCACCTGTTCTACGCACAGCTCTTGACAAATGTTTATAGTCTTGTAACTACAACCATGACCAAGATATGGCTCTACACCTTAAAACACGTCCTTGTGCCCCTCAGTAGTCAACCCCTCCTACACCCACCTTTTCTCTGTCCCTATAGTTTTGCCTTTTCTAAAATGGCCTACAAACAGAATTATACAGTACATAGCCTTTCTCTTCTCTTAGTGGAAGAGAAGGATGAATCATTGAGATTCATCATGTTGTGTGTATCAGAAGTTTGTTCCTTTTTGTTGGTGAGTGAGTGGTATTTCCTCATATGGATGTACCACATTCATCCATTGTCCAATTGAAGGGCAACTGGATAACTTCTAGTTTTGGACAATCACAAATAAACCCACTATAAACATTCATATACAGATGTTTGTGTGAATGCAGGTTTTCACTTGGATAAGTAGGTTAGATAACTTCTGAACAAAGACCTGAAAGAAATATGAAAACAAGCCATGAAGATAGTTGGGAATATCTTTGCATGATCACCGTATTACTATTATCACTTAGACCAGTGAATAGTTTTGTGCTGCAAAACTGGTCTGTTTGGGTCATTTTTCTTATGTGAGTTATTTGGAGAGTGTAGCCTTAAGAATGGAGGGGACCATTGATTGGTTCATTCATTTGTTCATTCACTCACTGATCCATTCAACAAACGTTAAATAAATAAAAGCCACCAATCCATAGTCTGTTACAAAAAGGAAGGCTGAGACCCTTGGATCCACACCAAGGACTAAATTTAGCCAGTTTATCTGACATAATTTCCTTTATGAGTTTCCTGAAAATTAGAGTAAGAGAAGAGTTAGTGAGTTTGGGGTTATCCTCACTGAAATGGAGAATGGACACTTAAGCATTTTTGAAGTGTTTATCTCTATGGAGGTTCCAGGGATCCCTCCGGAGGCCCCCCAAGAAGGGATATTCATTCGCTTGTGAGGTTGTCCATGTGAGTCTGCAAGGTCTCGAAAGGCATATTCAAGTGAGGACTCTGTCTGGATGAGGGGCCAGAGGATAAGACGGCGCCCTTCCAGGACTTAGGAGCCTTGTAAAAACACAGAAAATAACCTGTAAATGTCTTTTTTTTCAGGTGATGCAACTGTGAAAAAGAAGCCTGCCCCCAAGACACCTCCGAAGGCAGGTAATTGGTCGCAGCAGCATTTAGGGACAAGGGAGTCATCTGCCGTGAGGGGTTTTCCCTTTGCTCTGCTAGACTGATCACTGGGGCTGTGTGTCCCCCCCACCCCAGATTCAAGCTCTGCAATAGTTAGGCTGAATTTTCCCTGAGTTTCTGCAAGTCTGGGTCCTCCACCCTCTTCACTACTTGCCTTTTCTCCTTCTCTCCTGGCATAAAGCCTGCTCACCCCTCTGTCCTCCAGTATGCCCTTGTGGAAATGATCCACTTTGTGCTGTTCTCATGGTCTGCTCTGTAGGTCCCTGTCATAGGAAGCACTGTCTGTTTTCCATGGAAAGACATTTGAGGATGTGAACCAGTTTGAGCCTGTTAGCCAGAGTGACCTGGATGTTAGATGGCAAGGCACTACATAGTTAAGAAAGGAGTTAAGACATAAGATTCAAAAACTTAGGGGAAATCACAAATACCAGAGCAACCAAGCAGCAGAGAGTCATGCCATATCGGTCACTTCTGTTGGAATCAGGATCAAGAGACCAACAGAACTAGCAGGTCCATCAGCCTAAGTATGTGGAGCAGAGGTCACTGCCCTCAGTCTCACCCTTAAGGCTCCGGAAGGTGAGAGAGGAGCCACAGACCAACGTGACCAGAAGCGTCAGATGGTATCAGAATGTTTGAGGCTCCTTCCTTCTCAAGCTCACTCTCCCTCTTGTCCTCCCCCAGCCATGCCACCTCAGATCATCCAGTTTCCTGAGGACCAGAAGGTGCGAGCAGGAGAGTCTGTGGAGCTGTTTGGTAAGGTGACCGGCACCCAGCCCATCACCTGCACCTGGATGAAGTTCCGAAAGCAGGTTAGTCCTGGAGAACAGTGGTCCAAGAATAACCCGCACAACTTCCAGAGCAACTCTGGGCCAGAGGGAATGAGAAACGCTGTGATGGAGGCAGCATCACTGTTCATCAAGGGGGCCTTAGACATGGGAGAGCCCCTCACCACCATCACCCACCCACCAAATTTGAGCTCTTAATAACCTTTTCTTCAGCACCTGGCAAGAATGCCTGTTTTATAGACAACTTGTGTGATAGAGTATGAAGGACATAAGAGAACAAACCACCCATGGCTCCCACCTGATTTTGATATCTCTGCCTAGAATTCTACTCGGAGTCAGGAAAATCAAACCAGTGACCTGAATGATCTCTTAGACCCCGGAGCTTTCTGTGATTCTGTGCCAGCTTACTGAGCCCTATCTGTGGCAACCACTTAGACTTACCATGTGCTGGAGAGATAAAAGTGCATCTGAGTATTTGAGTAGATGACTTGTACGTTAAACAGAATTTTGGCTTCCTGACCCAGAAATCTAACTATCATTTCTAAGAACAGTCTTATGGGAAAATGTTTAAATTTCCAAATAACTGGTTCCTTTTAAAGGAGCTTGGGGAGCTTATCCATTCCTCCAGTCCCACACTGGCAATGTGTACCCACATGCCTGATCAGCAGAGACCCTAGAATGGCAGGCTGGCCCTGGGTCAGGAACTCCACAGAAGGTGTGATGACTTCTTGAAGCCTCTGTTGCTCCATTCCTAACCCATTCAAACTGTCCTAAGGCCCAGAGGTGGGAGGCTTGTACTGGGGAGGAAAGAAGGATTGTTCTCAAAAGACAAGAAGAGAAGCTGGCCTTCTCCCAAAGCGTGTTTGCTTGGGTTTTGTCTGGGTTAGTGATGTCTGAAGTGAGATGCAAATCTCAACCCTCTTTAGAGACATTTAGCCGAGTCCCAGCTCCATCCAACAGAACTTTCTGTAGTGATGTAATTGTTCTGTATCTGTTATCCAGTATGGTAGCCATTAAATTCATGTGGCTATTGAGCTTGTGAAATGTGACTACTGCAATTGAGAAACTGAATTTTACATTTCAGTTAGTTAAAAATGGTTATAACAGTTTTGTAGAGATAGAATTCACACATCAGGAAATTCACCCTTTTAAAGTAATGTACATATATTCACAAGGTTGTGAAACTATAACAATTTTCTAATTCCAGAACACTTTTATCATCTCAAAAGGAAAGCCCAGATCCATTAGCAGTCATTTCTTCCCTTCCCCCAGACTCTGGTGACCCTAACCTATTTTCTGTCTCTAAGGATTTGCCTACTCTGGGCATTTCTCATAAATGGAATCATATGTGTTCTTTTGTGTCTGGGTTTTTTTTTTTTAACTTAGCATAATATTTTCAGGGCATATCCATACTGTAACATGAACCAGTACTCCATCCATTTTTATGGCCAAATAATATTCCATTATCTGGATGTACCATGTTTTATTTGTTCATTCATTAATGGACATTTGGGTTATTTTCCATTCAACTAAAGTTTGAGTAGCCACATGTGACCAGTACTGGTACTTGACAGCACAGAGGAGGTCAGAACCCTCTGGGTGGGCTTTGTACGTGACTTTGATCAAATGTGTTCTCCCACCCTCCCATCCCAGAGCAGTGGAGCGGGCTGGGCTGGTCCTCGTTTCCAGTCTAGCACAGCGAGTGAAGACATGGCTTATTCCCAACCCCCAGACCCTGCTCAGCACCCTTCCTTCCTGCCCAGATCTGGGCCCCATCAGAGCAGCTTGACTGTGAATGCAGGAGAAGGGGCCCTGAGCGGGAAGCTCAGGGTGCAGACAAGACCAGCCCCACACCACTATCCAGCTGCATCCCTTAGGGGGTGTGGGGCGTGGCTTGGAGCCCCCTTCCTTTCTGGCTCAAGTCTCCAGCTCCTGGCCCACTCTCTGCCCCCAGATCCAGGACAGTGAGCACATCAAGGTGGAGAACAGTGAGCAGGGCAGCAAGCTCACCATCCGGGCGGCGCGCCAGGAGCACTGTGGCTGCTACACCCTGCTGGTGGAGAACAAACTGGGCAGCAGGCAGGCCCAGGTCAACCTCACCGTGGTGGGTGAGTCTGGGGACAGGCGTGCAGAAGGCAGGATGGTGGGCTTCCAGGCCTCACCTTTGGGGTACTCCCCCAGCATATGTGTTCCCTCTGCCCACGGCCTTCCTTTCTTTCCCTATTCTCACACTGTAGCTGCCCTTCCTGCTTGTTGAAAATCCCAGACCTTGCACATATAGTGTTTTCCTTTTTCTGTGAATCTCCTCAGGCTTCCCTCTCTCGCCTTTGGAGACCCCGAGTTCCCCCACCACAGCTCTCCATAGCTAGCCCCTGTGACACCCTGTCCCCCTGGTCCTGTCCCCTCCCAGTCCCCTGGCAGACCCTCACCTTGAATCAGTGCTGCCTTTCAACTTCATTGCCACTCTGCCTGAGCCCATGGTGCAGCAGGGAGATGACATCAGCTCACAGCCTCAGCCCTGGGCTCTGTCAACATCCAGGCTCAGCGGAGGCATTGGTACTGGTCAGCTCTGTCTCCCACTTCCTGTGACAGCCATTCCTCGATACCCTTTACCCTGCAGGCCTTGGCCTCTGGCCTCTCCAAGACATAGGAGGCATGAGACATGAACTTGCTCAGCTTCGTGGCCCCACACCTGCAGGCGTCTCTCTGTCCCCATGTTGATTCCACCCTCCAGACTCTGGGTGTTGCCCACCTTCCTCCTGTGCTACAGATCACAGGCTCCTGAGGGCTACGAGCCCCCAAGCCCCGTAAGTCCCCAACCCTTCTTTTTTGCAGCTTCTCTTTTTCTCCTATAAATGTTGCCAAGTCTCCCCCATCATCTTCCCCGTGCACACAGGCACAACTCTTGCAGTATCTCGTCTCACTCTGGCCACCCTAGTGTCTTTTTCCTGCTCTCTCTCCATAGCCAAGCCCTCTGAGAGAGCCAGTCTCTAGTCTGCTTCTTTGCCTCACTGGCAACACTCTTTAGCCCCCTGTAGCCTGGCCCCCAGGCTCCATTCATCTGCTGGGACTGCCTTTCTGAGATCACTGTGCCCTCCTAATCCCTAGTCCACTCCCTTTTTCATGTCTTCTGTATCACAGGACTGAGTTCAGAGTCTGTCTCCAGGCTCACTTTTCCCTCTCCACCTCAATCACTATGCTTTTCATGCTCGGGTCTACTCTCTCCTGAAATATCAAGCAAGCTTCCTAACTGCCTTCCTGCTGTCAGTCGTGTTCAGCCTGCTGTCCCCTCATGTGGCAGGCATTCAGGACCTTGAAGGAGCAGCAGATGGACAACAGGCTGGTCCCAGTGCACTTGTGGGCCTTCATGTGTGGTGCACATGAAAGCCTTTCGCCTGGCATTCATTGATTCGATCCTCTTTGTGTTTAGTTTCCTTGTGCGTGCATGTGTGCGTGCTCAGTCGCTCAGTCGTGTCCGACTCTTTATGACCCCATGGACTGTAGCCTGCCAGGCTTCTCTGTCCACGGGGTTCTCCAGGCAAGAATACTGGAGTGGGTTGCCATGCCCTCCTCCAGGGGATCTTCCTGGCCCAGAGATCGAACCCACATCTCCTGCATTGCAGGCAGATTCTTTACTGCTGAACCACTGGAGAAACCCTTGGTTTCCTTAGGGCAGGAGTTTTTCTCCCTGGGAATGCCAGTGGTCCAAGGTCTCAGGGAACAGTTTCTCCTCTGTAAAAGACAGCAGGGACCCTTGTCCCCCTCACTGTCTCTTTGGCGACTCCAGATGCTTATTCTAATCCGTTCCTCCTGGAGTCAAGAACACTCTGGGGGGTGGGCAGTTGGTACTAGTGGTCCAGTTCATCTTTACCCTTAAATCTGTACCTGAAGTATCAATTTGGCCCTATGCCTCACCCATCCATCAGCAGGCAGTAGTTTCCAGTTTTCCTTGGTGTTCTCTCTGACCTGCCCTTGCTGGGGGAACTTTAGGGTCAACTCCTTGGAACTGCTCTTCTGCAGCCCGTGCCCCCGGCCCTCACGCTCCGCACACTGCCACCAGCTCCCCTCCCCCATCACCACCGCCGGGCCTTCAGTTGTGGCCTTTTATGGTTTAGTTTCTCATTCTCCTCGGCCAGTGCTGACAGGGCCATTGGCGTGGCTGCCCGCCAGCTGGCAGGAGCAGCATGTTAAATGCCGTCCTGGGAGGGGAATGGAATGGAGGGGAAGGGCTTTCTGTCTGCCTCCCCCTCGGAGAGCTAAGAATAGAATTGCTCAATAAAATGAGGACTTGCATTGATGGATACAGCAAATCCGCATTCATTCAGAGTCTGTGGATTTAGACTCAGTCCAAAGTAAACCTGGATTAAGCCCAGATATACCTGCCTGTCTCTAGGGACATCTGTGTATTATATGATCAGGGTTGATTAAGTAGATCTAAAATGTAAATGAGATGAAACAGAGATTGTTTGGCCTACTCTAGACTGTTTCAAGCACTTTGGATGCATCCATTTGTAAGCCCACTGAATAAGGCTGATTTAGCACAATTTCTACAGCTGCTGCTGCTGCTGCTAAGTCACTTCAGTCGTGTCTGACTCTGTGCGACCCCATAGACGGCAGCCCACCAGGCTCCTCTGTCCCTGGGATTCTACTAGTTAGCAGTAAACTTCTCTTTTGTATGTTCTTTAAAATACCTCATTATTTTCAGATAGTTTATGACTCCTATAATTAAAAATCATAAACTATCTGAAAGGAAAGGAGTACTTTAAAGAACATACAAGAAGAGAAGTTTACCACTAACTTTATGACTCCTATCTTTTTTTTTTTTTTTAAAGAAAGAGGGGCTTCCCAGGTTGCTCAGTGGTAAAGAATCTGCCTGCCAGTTCAGGAGACCCAAGAGACGTGGATTTGATCCCTGGGTTGGGAAAATCCCCTGGAGGAGGAAATGGCAACCCACTCTAGTAATTTTGCTTGGGAAATCCTATGGGCAGAGGAGCCTGGTGGGTTATAGTCCATGGGATCACAAAAAGTTGGACACAACTGAGTGACTGAGCACACAGCACACAGTTTTAAAAATGATGAAAAAATTAGCCTTTGCCTCAGTTACTTTAAAAGAGTGATGTTTAGCTATTTTGAAGGCTTATTATTATTATTATATGTTAAAGGACAGATAATGGATGACAGGGAAGCCTGGCGGGCTACAGTTCAAGGGTTGCAAAGAGTCCAACACAAGTTAGCAACTGAACAACAACCAAAACAAAGGGCAGTGCAGGGATGTATGAGGCTCAAAGGGCCTCTGCCAATGCCTGGGTCTCCAGCCTCAGCCTGGGAAGGGTGAGGGAGGGGCTGCTCAGGCAGGAGAGAGCAGCTTGCCCCAGATGGAGTCCTTCATGTGACTAGTCCAGCACAAGACAAACAGACCACTGTGCAGATCTTTAAAGGAGAAGAATGCAGCAGAGAAAATCCCAGGTACCCAATAACCCCCCAGGGCTATCTGAGCTGGGAACTTGCATGATTTTTAAGGACAGATGATTTCACTTCATAATGCTTGGCTTGGGCTTGAGCAAGATGCTTTCTTGATCTTATGTGGCCTGATAGCCGAGAAGAAAACAGGCCCCTGGAGTGAGGGTTTGGAGACCTTTAGAATCTCCTTTTGGCTCTGCCACTGGCCAGCTGGGTGTTCTTGGTAAGCACAGCACCTTGCCTAACCCCAGAGGGCCAGGATTACCCAGGTGCACAACCTGGGGGCCCTCACAGCCCTGCCAAAGTTTAAAAGCTGCAGGTGCATGTGAAGGGAGGTCAGGGTGGGGTTAGATCCAGTCAAAGGCCAGCTGCAAATGCACAGGTGCATAGAGATTGTCAGCATAGAAAAGCATTAGAGATGAGATCCTCCGATTTCCCAGGAGCGAGAACATTTACTGAACGTTTTCTAATCCTGGAGCTATTGCCACCGAAGACCCTTCCCTTAGACTCAGCCTTTCCCATTCAGCTAGACCAGTGTCCAGGGAGTTATGAGAGAATCCCACAGAAGCTTGGAGCTTGGGGCCCCAGTCACTGAGCCCGCCTGGCCTTTGCCAGGCCGTGCCCGGCCTCCCCCCAGACTGAGTTTGTCTGTGTCTTTGGCATGGAGGGGAGACTGTTCTAAGAACATCTGTTCTGTCCTGAGGGTTTTCATCCCCAGCTTGTCCAGCCTCTGTGTGGACTCTGTAGGTTGGAAAGAACAGAAGGCATCAGGCACAGCCCGTGGCTCTAAGGGCAGTTGTGGGCGAGGGGGCTTCCAATCTCCCATGACTTCAGACTTGCCTCTGTTCTGAAGCCCTTAATTTGGCATCAGGTTCCTTGAAAGCATTGAGGTTTCACTTGGAATTAAAGATGTTCTCTCCAGTTTTGCAGCTTCTCTTGTGCTTCAGGCCATGACATATGTCTGGTGCCTGTTTTTTTCTCTTTCAGCCAAGAGCCATTTGGAGCAGGGTGGGGGATTAATAGTACCTCTTCCAAAATAGCCATTTCTCAAAGTTTTCTCTTCTTCACTAAAGCAGGAGGGGAATATATCAGTCAGTAGAGTGTATCTGTATTTGTTGTCTCAAACTACAGGACACCAAACATGTCCAGTCAGAAGTTTTCCAGGCATATCCTCTAAAGGAGGCAAGGAGTCTGTCTTTCATCCTTCTTTAGGCCTTTTTACTTCTTTCGCTGGATCTTAGAGGACTTGAACCACTTGCCTGTAAGAGAGTTTAGAGTAATAAACCTCTTAGCCAACACTAGAAATATTTCTAGAAAGACCAATATATCTTTTAGAACAAACAGTTTTTCTAAGAGAACATGTTGAACAACCAGTGAAAGTGGTTCCATCACAAGAGGCCTCCAGAGTGACTGTCACCAGCAGGGAGTGGCTGTCACAGCCCCAGAGTCATTCCAGGGCGAGTCAACCCAGATTTGAGCTGCAGGGGATGAATGGCTTCCAGGCAGTGCATTCCTGGCTGGAATGAAGAAGCAGCAGGACTTGGAGGGGAGGGGATGAATATGTATGTGTATAGGTATGTATGGTATATATGTGTATAGGTGTATGTGTATGCACACGTATGTGTATGTATGTGTTTATATGTATATGTATATACACACATACACACAGAGGATGTTTTTTTCTTCTCCTCCATATGCTTCGGTCATCTGCAGGAATTTTCTTTGGCCTTCCTACCTAGCTGAGGTGTAAGAAAGCAGGAATCAAGTACATTACCTGGGTTTGCTTTATTTGATGCTTGCAGAACCCTGGAGAGACTGATATATAACCCCACTTTCCAAAGGACAAAAACAAGCAAAATAGTCTTGGAAGTTAAGGAATTAGCTAGAATTCACATAGCTTATAAATTCACAGAGCATAATACATGGCCTTTCTTGTTAGAGAACTCTAAAGTGCAGATTGTCTTAGAGGAGATGAAGGTTACTGAACATCTGTATCTGTAACTAAACCAACTACCTGCAGAGACTAAATCTGAAAAATAGGAGAATTCTGTTCAGATGTGCTTAATCATGCTTAGTTCCTTAGTTGTGTCCGACTCTTTGCGACCCCATGGACTTTAAACCACCAGGCTCCTCTGTCCATGGGATTTTTCAGGCAAGAATACTGGAGTGGGTTGATATTTCCTCCTCCAGGGTATCTTCAGACCCAGGAATCAAACCCGCATCTCCTATGTCTCCTGCATTGCAGGTGGAGATTAACAACTATCAAAAATCTCAAAACTCAAGAACCTCATTAATGAGCATACTGGCTGCTGTGATCTGCCTTGAAAGTTGGCAGTGTTACTGGTTCTTAGCATTACTGGTCTGAAGAGGATGGTGGACAGCCTAAGGGACTGCTCCTAGTTTGTATCTTCAGCTCATTTTTCCAGCCCTTAAAGATGACTGTGATTTGCTACTGTGGTTTGCTTTGAAATTCTCTATCTCATTTTATACCCGTCCTAGGAGGTCGGAGGGCTTCCCTGGTAGCTCAGTGGTAAAGAATCTGCCTGTGATGCAAGATACCAGGTTTGATCCCTGGGTCAGGAAGATCCCCTGGAGGAGGGCATGGCAACCCACTCCAGTATTCTTGCCTGAGGAATCCCATGGACAGAGGAGCCTAGTGGGCTACAGTCCATGGGGTCTCACAGAGTCAGACACAACTGAGTGACTAAGCAGCAGCAGCAGGAGGATGGAAGAGAGGGTAAGAATAATGTTTTATAAAGTTAGAAATGAACTTCTGCAATAATGATGACAGTCAAGGCTACTCAAACAGGATGTTTTCCTAAGAATATCTCATGACAACCTTGTGATCCAGTGCTGTTATCATGTGCATTTTCAGAGGATGAAACTTAGCACAGAGGCTAAGAAGTAGTGAATGAAGGCAGAGCTGTATTCAAACCCTGTGTGTGGCTTCAGAGTTCACTGTGCTGTACTGACCCTCAGCAGGGCAGGCACTTCCCATGTCCCAGAGAAAGTAGAGACTGGCCCCTGGTTATGTCTCTGGTCACTGGCCTCAGGCCTGGAGGAGATACATGCACATACACACATTGAGCTCTCTTTCAAGACATATTTTTGATGGGAAGCAGTCCACACCTCCTGGGGAGCTTCCTAGATCTGTTTACACTGAGAAATATGTTTATGACTTGGGCAAAGCACAGGAAATCATGACGTGTAGACTAGAAACTAGCCAAAAAAGACAGTATATTCAAGAAAATAGCATATATATTTGTGGGGCTTCCCACATAGACAGGTGTTTGCATAGGTGTGACTGTGCAGATGAGGGAAAGAGAGCCGGGACCAGGGACCACAGCTGCTTCTCCCTCGTTGTTGTTCAGTTGCTCAGCTGTGTTCAACTCTTTGCAACCCAGTGGATGCCAGGCTTCCCTGTCCTTCACCATCTCCTGGAGCCTGCTCAAACTCATATCCACTGAGTCAGTGATGCCATCCAACCATCTCATCCTCTGTCTCCCCGCTTCTCTTCCTGCCTTCAATCTTTCCCAGCATCAGGATCTTTTCCAATGAGTCAGCTCTTTGAATCAGGTGGTCAGAGTATTGGAGCTTCAGCTTCAGCATCAGTCCTTCCAATGAATATTCAGGACTGATTCCTTTGAGATTGACTGGTTTGATCTCCTTGTTGTCCAAGGGACTCTCAAGTGTCTTCTCCAGCCCCACAGTTCGAAAGCATCAATTCTTCGGCGTTTAGTCTTTTGTATGGTCCAACTCTTACATCTGTAAATGACTAGCTAATTAAAAAACCTTCTCTCCCTGAAATCGTGCACAGTTGGGTGATGCTATCCTTCTGTTTCCCCAGACAAGCCAGACCCCCCAGCCGGCACGCCTTGTGCCTCTGACATCCGAAGTTCCTCACTGACCTTGTCCTGGTATGGCTCCTCGTATGATGGGGGCAGCGCCGTACAGTCATACAGTGTCGAGATCTGGGACTCAGTGGACAAGACGTGGAAGGAACTAGCCACATGCCGCAGCACTTCTTTCAACGTTCAAGACCTGCTGCCTGACCGAGAGTATAAATTCCGTGTGCGTGCAATCAATGTCTATGGAACCAGTGAACCAAGCCAGGAGTCTGAACTCACAGCCTTGGGAGAGAAACCTGAAGAAGGTAAGCTACCTTCCTTTCATCACTGGCTTGAGATAAATGTCCATGACTTACTTTGTGTGTGTAGAAGTCTGTATGGAGATGGATACAGGGGAACTGACAAGACTTTGCTGGTGACTGTCAGGGTCTTTTGGGATCTTGCTTTCCAATGTTGTAATGCTGAGCCATATTCTAAAAGAGGTACCTGTGATCTTTCCAAAAAATATTGAACCAGCAATTTTGATACAGTGCGACCAGGGGGCGATGGTGTGTTAATCAGGAGTACAGTCCTAGAAAGCTGGAATTCAGGTAGACCTACATACAGTTTCAGCATCTTCCCCCACCATCCCTCTCCCTCCTTTCTTGCACTCTTGTTTGAGGGTCTACTCAGTGTCAGGTACCTGGGAAATGAAGACCACTAAGAGCAGAAGTTTAAAATCTAACAAGGAGAACAGCTGTGAAGACTATAGTTAAGACCATCTTGAGATGGGCCACATCCTTTTGATATTACAGCGATATAAACAAATTGTAGAGATACAGCAGAAAGCATGAATAGTTTTGCTATAAAGCTTGGGAAAGGCTTCCTAGATGTAATACTTACACTGAGTCTTGGAGAAAGGAATAGGATTCCAAGAGGCAGTCAGATAGAGAGAAGCATTCCTTGCAAGGGAAACAATGTGAGCAAAGGTACAAACTGGTAGAAACACATGTCATTTTGAGACTCTCATGTGTGGCCAGGAGAATATGCTGTGTGAGATAGAATAGGAGGAAGCAACTCAAAAAGGATAGTCTAGATAAAATTGTGAGTTATCAAAGGTTTTCAAGTAGGGGTTTGATATAGTTAGGTTTTTGGTTTTTTTTTTTTAAGAGTTTGAGGAAGTGAAGACCTTTACAACTCAAGGTGTGGTCTGGACCAAGAGTCTTGGGATCCTGGGAACTTGTTAGAGATGCAGATTCTCCACGAGCCCCACCCCCCACTTCCCTAATACATTTTGAACCTTCATTTTAACATCATCCACCCTCAGCCCCCCCGTGGATTCATATACACATGAAAGTTTGAGAAGCACTGGAGTGGATGGGGTGGGGAGTGAGGTTGAAGTCAGTAAGATACTGATTGGGCCTCTCTGTTGTAGTCCAGGAGAGGATAGTAAGGGAACTTTAGAAGGTAGGATTGACCATTCCTAATGACTCATTGGAAAAGTCCCTGATGCTGGGAGGGATTGGGGGCAGGAGGAGAAGGGGACAACAGAGGATGAGATGGCTGGATGGCATCACTGACTCGATGGACATGAGTTTGAGTAAGCTCTGGGAGTTGGTGATGGACAGGGAGGCCTGGCGTGCTGCGATTCATGGGGTCGCAAAGAGTTGGACACGACTGAGCAACTGAACTGAACTGAATCACTTCTTGGGCAGGGAAAAGTTAAAAGAGTCTAAGATTACTCCCACATCCTGGCTTGTAACTAACACAAATTCAGGAGCCATTTAGAGATTATTGTGTTTTATGGTGGCTAACATATTTAACACTTGCTATTAATATATAGCCAGATTAAAGCATTTTCCATGCATTATTTCACACATCTAACTCAATGAAGTAGATACTATTATTACCCGCCTTTTACAGATAGGGGTACTGAGGTTTAGAGGAATGAAGCTATTTGCCCAAAGTCACAAAGCTTGAAAATGGTGTGCTGAAGCTTAAACTCAGAGCTGTTTTACCCTGAGCCTGAGTTCCTTTGGTTACACTGATGGAGGAGGTCAGGTTGCCTCTTAGTGACTTAGAGGTTAGATAGCAGGGAGTCCCGAGGAGGTGGAGGCTCTGGTTTTGAGGTGTGTGAGGGCTGTCCACAGGGAGGTATCTTCAGACTGTTGAATGGTTGAGTCCAGAGCTCAGGAGAAAGGTTTAAGCTCCAGCTCTCTTCACTATTGAATTGGTCATTGAAGCCATGGGCATCAATGAGGGCAGAAAGAAAGTCAGCACTGACACGGAAATGAAGAAAACTGAATGACCCGGAGAAAGGACTAAGAGGGGGAAGAAGCAAGGGGCGGTTGCTGTATTGCAGAAACACAGGAAGCAGCAAGTGGCAAAGGGGAAAGAGATGAGGACGTGGGAGGATGTCTGGGTTTAGCCCTTTGCTGTGCAGTCATCTTTGAGAGCAAAGTCCATAGCACTTCTGTGCATGCTCAGTCACTCAGTGGTGTCCAACTCTTTTGCAATCCCATGGACTGCAGCCCGTCAGGTTCTCCTCTTCAAAGGCTTTTCCAGGAAAGAATACTGGAGTGGGTTGCCATTTCCTATTTCAGGGGATCTTTCTGACCCAGAGATGGAACCTGCACCTCCTGCATTGGCAGGCGGGTTCTTTACCGATGAGCCACCTGGGAAGCTTCTGTGGGGTAGAAAATGGTTGGCCTGCGGCTAAGGAATGAATGGAAGAAGGAGGCCTATGTGGAATGCCACTTCAAGAAGTGTCCTGTGAACAGAAGAAAACAAGTGCTGTGAATTTAAGATGGAGGCAAAGTTGGGTGCAGGAAGGAAACGGGGAGGGAAAGCAAGCAAAAGGGCTCTAGGAGAGAATAAACTTGAAGATGTGAGGAGGTAGAGAGGAGACTAAAGGACCAGCTCAACAGAGTGCAGAGAAGGCAATGGCATCCCACTCCAGTACTCTTGCCTGGAAAATCCCATGGACGGAGGAGACTGGTAGGCTGCAGTCCGTGGGGTCGCGAAGTCAGACACCACTGAGCGACTTCACTTTCACTTTTCACTTTCATGCATTGGAGAAGGAAATGGCAACCCACTCCACTGTTCTTGTCTGGAGAATCCCAGGGATGACGGATGTCGGGGTCGCACAGAGTTGGACATGACTAAAGTGACTTAGCAGCAGCAGCAGCTCAACAGAGTGAGAGCTTGAAGTCACCCTTATAGCCAGAGGCGTCGTAAGTGTGGAAACTGTCATGACAGGGTCACCGTCTTTGGTTTTAAATTTTAGGTTTAATATAGATATTAAACTTTACTCTCAAGTTAAACAAGGGCTCCAGAGAGAAAGTTTGGAGGATGCCAATGGAAAACACACCAAATTTACAATTTTGCCTGTGCGGTCCTGTCTTGGGGGCCTTTGCCCAGGCGAACCCTGGAGATACCTAGAGATCAGGCTTCCTTGAGAGCTATAGCATGCTAGGTGGAGTTGGGGGGAGACTATGGAGCCTGGGCCCAGGGCAGCCCTGCCAGCCTCTGCAGTTTCCCGGGGCTCCTGCCATTAGCTGCTCACAAATGCCTGCTGAGAGAAACAGAGTAGCACAACTGCCATCTGCTGCTGTGTGACACCCCCCTTTGATGTGAGCAGAGTGGGAGCAAACTGGTTAGAGTGGGGGTGCCAGGGCAGGTGGCCAGGTTCCAGTCTGCATGTTTTTAGAATATTACTTTGTCCAAAAAGACGACTCCCCACCTCTTGGAAAAGTGACAGAAAGGGGATAACATGGCAGTGAGACACACATTAGGTGGAAAGGAAAGCTTCCAAGGTCCTTTATAGCATACACCAGGAGAGACTGCAGAATCCTTGATGAGCCCACACAGAGGGCCAGAGGCCACAGAAGCTGCAAGTATGGCTCTGAAGAGGCCTGGACAGCAGCTATCAGGACTGGGAGGATGGTCTGTGGAGTGGAGGGCTGAGATCACTTGGCTCCAGGCAGGTGGCCGCTCCCTTCTTCCCCACAGTCAGACCAGGGTCAATTTTCTCTTTTTTAAAAGTGCCTTGGGTCTCAGTGTGTGTGTGTGTGTGTGTGTGTGTGTGTGTGTGTGTGTGTGTGTACACATGTACATGTGTAGAAGAAGGATGGGGTAAGTGATTATGGTAGGCCATTGCTGTGAGCCAGTGGGGTCTGATCATGGAGCCCTACTTACTCTAAGCCCCACTCACGTTGCCTCTCATCTTCCCTACCGCTACCACGGCCCCTCTTCCCTCCATTTCAGCAACTTTAGTCTTTGGCTTCATCCTGACCTCTCAGCTCCATCCCACCCCTCACTCTGCATTCGCCCTTCACCTGTCCTGTTTCCCCAGTGCTGAGAGGGTGCTGGGGATACAGTGGAGGACACAGCACAGCATAGAGGCCCCCACCAGCTCCAGTGGCCTCCTTATGCCTGGGCCACCTCTCAGACAGGCTCCCGAACCTGACAGCTCTCCTCCTTGACTTCCCAAACCTGGCTAAACTAGCACCTCCCCTCCCCCCTACCCCGAAAACAGCCGCTGTCTCCCATCTCCCCCCAGGAATCTCCACTCCCACCCACTCCATCCCCCCCAGGAAGCTCCACTCAGCTCTGACTCCTAAATCCACATCATCCTTGCTCCTGATCCTAATTTATTCTAGTCTGTATGCGTGCACGCATGCTCAGTCGCTGAGTTGTGCCTGACTCTTCGTGACCCCATGGACTGTACCCCACCAGGCTCCTCTGTCCATGGGATTTTTCAGGCAAGAACACTGGAGTGGGTTGCTATTTCCTCCTCCAGGAGATCTTCCTGACCCAGGGCTCAAACCTCTGTCTTCTGACAGGCAGATTCTTAACCACCAAGCCACCTGGGAAGCCCTCTAGTCTGTATAGTTGTTAGCAAACAGCTGTGATAGAGGTATCTTGCAGAGTAAGGGCTTCCTTGTGCCCCAAGGGTAATTAGAGAGGTAGAGCCCCCAGAGATGCAAGGAAGATCAGCAGCGCACCAGTGCAGGGGGTGGGGTGCTGACCACGGCCAACCTCCCGAAGATGGGGGCGCCCTCTAGTGTCCCCTGGGGGCACAGCAGCACCCTGCTGAGCAAAGGGACCACTCTGTCCAGGGAGCCCGCTCGGCATATGCCCTGTGAGGGCAGGAGCGCCATGCCGCTCCTCTCCCAAATGCCACTGCAGGGGGATGGGACTCATCTGACTGCAGAAATATCCCAGAAACATATTCCAAATAGTTCTTGCACTTAACTCTTGCATCTCACGGCTGTGAGTAGATTTTGTGTGTTTTAATATTTCACTGAAGTTCTTCCAACTGCAATTTAGCTCCTTTCTCAGTGGAAAGATGGATGCCGAATGGCCACCTCTCTCATTACTGCCCCTTGATGCTCAGAGAGCTTGACTAACTGAACTGTGGTCTTTCCCCCGCTCCTCTGGGACTCTTCCTCACATGACCCTTCCCCCTGCAAACAGAGTGGAGGCAGGACAAGAAGGAAGAGGAGGAAGGGAAATGTCTCAGCCTGGAGCCTCAGTCCACGTCCCACACAGAGGATGGGTTGCCATGTAGCAGTGAGACAGAGACAGAGGCATGGATTCCCTGAGACTGAGCTGTGTCCCTACAGCCATGGATCAGGAAGGCACTCTGCATCTTGACTTTTAAGGAGAAAGGCAGGAGGTGAGGGTAGGTGTGGTGTTTGAGGTGATGGCAGCTAACTCCACTTCTAACTAGTGTCAGAGAGATGGGGAGAGGCGAGTTCTAGAACTGCCTGCTATTTCAGGGCAACCTGGAAGATGCCTCTGGGGGACAGGTTGTTGGAAAGCCCCTAGAGGGCTCACAGTACTGCTGCTGCTCCTTCACTAGGGGAAGACAGACCATTTCTCCTGGAGATTCCGGGTCAAGGAAGCTTGCCTCTCTGTCCTCTCCCATCCTGCTGCCCATTTCACACCAGCATGTGTGATGTGGGGACTGAAAGGTCAAGAGAGGTCAAACCACTGTCTCATTTGGGGCCTCCTGACGATGCCCCATCAGGACAATGGAGTTCCCTGACACTACATGTAGTTATTATCATTAATATTTTGTCTCTAAGTCCCTGTCCAGTAACTGGCATCCACGGGTGCTTTGTTAGTGATTGAATGGATGTTGAATCTCGTGCTATCTTAGAGTCCTGTTTGAAATACCATTGTTGAACTCAGCAGAACATTTCTTGAACCTGTTTATTCTTCTTATGGTAACTCTTGAGATGTGATTTCCATATGCCTACAGCCTTCCTCCTATATGGGATGTAACACTAAATTGTTCTCCCAAGTTATAATATTCATTAGTTGGTGAAAGTTCATAAACCTAACCTTACCCTTGGCTATTGTGATTTTTTTTTTAATCACGTCTGTTTTAGGCTCCTTTCCCAACTAGAGAGGCCTAACCCTTTCTGACTGTCTTCACATGGCAGCTCTTCCTGTCAATGACCCATACTTCTTCCAGCTCCATCAGGACTGCCTAACAGACAGCGTTCCAGGATCATATGACCCCAGGTTCTACCAAGGGCAGAATAATGATACCTATTTGCAGCCAGAGCACATTTCCCCAGTGACAGCATTCTGTTGGCCAGAGCAATTGGTTGAGGAACTGGGCTCCCATTTTTTGGTTCTAACTAGATTCCCTAGTGGGCTTCCCTGGTGGCTCAGAAGTTAAAGCGTCTGCCTGGAATGCAAGAGACCTGGGTTCGATCCCTGAGTTGGGGAGATCCCCTGGAGAAGGAAATGGCAACCCATTCCAGTACTCTTGCCTGGAGAATCCCATGGAGGGAGGAGCCTGGTAGGCTACAGTCCTTGGGGTTGCGAAGAGTCGGACACGACTGAGCGACTTCACTCACTCACTCACTCAGATACCCTAGGACTTGTCAGGCTGAAAGTTTGAATGATTCAATTCTCCCTGACAATGTGACTCCATTACTACCTTCCAGGTGTGTTGCTCTCACATACGTTCTGGTTGAATTTGACAGTGTCACTCTCAACTCTCAAATCTGTGATTTGATTTGATCAGTTATACTCACATCCTGAGAATTTCTGTGAACCCCACCACTAATCTGAGAGTCCCCATTGATCTTGTTGTTTTTTTATTTTTCCCTGGCATTTTCCTTTATGTAATAAATATTGCTTCCAATCCCACTTTTGTTTGGTTTTTAAAACTAAACCTCACCCACAGTGTTTTCAGAACTCTAAACAAATCATAGCCTCTCTTGTTCCTGCTCATGTGCTTATAATCTCTTTCAAGACTCTTTTCTAGTAAGGGGTCCTTTTCTGGTATGGGAACTGTGTGGCTTTTCTCAGGTTGTCTGCTTAGATTTCAGTAATTTGTTCTGCCCTCAGCTGAACAGAGGGGCTCACTGTCTACAGTTCTGAGCTGCACCTTGTCCCTGACCCACACCTTCATCCCATTTGTGAAGCTGAGCCTGCTTCCATACAGCCCCTCCCTGCTGGGCAGCATCTAACAAACCCCTCCACCCCATCTGCTCTAGTCTTCCTTCTACCTGCCATCCACTTCCTATCCTCAGTTTTGCTCTGCTGGGACCTTCAGCAAATCATACCCTTTTCCCTCATCTTGTGCATACACACACACACACACACACACACACACACACACACACACTCTAGAAATCTTTGTCCTCCTTCTCTGGCTTCGCCAGGTCCTTCCACATCTTCTGGAAACCTCCCTTGGCTCCCGCTGTCAAGGACACAGTCCACATTATGGCCAAGTGGCACCTAGAACATCAAAAAGCATGGACTCCAGGGCTAGCCAGGGACCCTAGAAATCACCCAGAAATACAGTGCTTTCCTTTTACAGATGAGGAAACTGTAGCCCAGGAAGCAAAAGGTACTTGGCCATGGTCAAGAAGCTGCAATGGCCCTTTAGGAACAAATTATACTAAAGCAAAGGAAAACCAGGACCTCGGGACTGGGTGTGTTCCTCTGGACACTCATGTCTCTCTGCCCACCCTGACACAGTTGTATGAACAGCCAGCATGGGCTGCTCACGTGCCTCCTTATTGGCTTCCTGCATGACATTACCCTTCTCACTGTATTCCATTATTTCCTCTAAGACACAGCTCAGTGGCTCCTTCTTCCCAGATTGATTGCTCTGACTTTATACTTACCCAACTCGGGTCACTTTCCTCCATTGTCTACTCGGTTTGTGTGGCAATAACATGTGCTTCACCATATAACACTCATAATGGATATTTCAAGTATATGTATATTTGCCTCTCCAACTAAATTATAAGCTCCAAGAAATCACACCATGATGGAGAGATCACACCATCTGCATTTTGTTTTGTATACCCACAATCACTGGCAAGATATCTGGTACATGGCTGGAATTCCAGAAGAAGCTCAGTAAATGGATAAATAGATTTGATACTAGTAGAAACTATAAGAGGAGAAGGCAATGGCACCCCACTCCAGTATTCTTGCCTGGAAAATCCCATGGACGGAGGAGCCTGGTAGGCTGCAGTACATGGGGTCACTCAGAGTCAGACACAACTGAGCAACTTCGTTTTCACTTTTCACCTTCATGCATTGGAGAAGGAAATGGCAACTGGTGGGCTGCTGTCTACGGGGTCGCACAGAGTCGGACACGACTAAAGCGACTTAGCAGCAGCAGCAACTCTTAAGTTGCTGACTTTTGAGGGAGAGTAGAAAGGGACTCTCTGGGTTGTCTGTAGGTTCTAGAAACTAGAAAAATATGAAGACGGACATGTCTAGGAGACCTTGAGGATAGAGAGATGGGGCTGGAGGAAGGGCTGGGGGAGGAGAGGCTGGGTGGGGTAAGGAGGCCAGAGCCTGCCAGTGTATATGTGGCCCTGTTGCAGTGTGGAGCCTCTCATCCCATGGTGATGCCCAGAGCTTTGGGCTTTGAGTCTCGTGCTTGGGAAGGCTGAAGCCAGGCAGGGCCCCCAGCTTGCTTAGCTCTCAGGGCCTTCAGAACTAATCACCTGTATCCTCTCTGCCCCCAGAGCCGAAGGACGAAGTGGAGGTGTCAGATGATGGTGAGTGCTGGGCCCTATCCTTGGGTAGACTCGAGGGGTGGATGGGGGTGAGGAGGGATCTGATGGCTCACACTCACCCCGCCCCAACCCTGCAGATGAGAAGGAGCCTGAGGTCGACTACCGGACCGTCACGGTCAATACCGAGCAGAAAGTGTCCGACTTCTACGACATCGAAGAGAGACTAGGATCGTAAGTGGAGTGGGAAGTGGAGTGGGTCCCCTTCTGGACCCCAGAGTGAGGATGGCGCTGGCCCTGAGGTTATATTCCATGCCTCCTCTTCCTGTCCTTCCCTGGGTTCTGCCAACTCCCCAGACTGAGGTTCTGGGAAGACTTGACCTGCGAGCACCCACAAAAGCATTGCCTGCCCAGGGCTCTCTTAGGAGCTGCTGTGCCCAGGGCTCAACTCCGCAAGCTTGAGCAGGTCTTTCCTTCTCTGCACGCCTGCCCCCATCCCTCCCCCAGGACATAACCCAGGGCAGCCGGGCTGGCTTGGCCTGTCTTTAGGATCCCTTCCCTTGGATCTGTGCTCCCATTCAACCGGTCTAGCCTTAGTGCTGTAGCAAAATATGCCTGCTTGATACACAGCTCCCATCATCACCCCTCACTTTGTGAGCTCGGTCCACAGTCTTTGCTCAGGCTCTTTCCTGGGCTGTGGAGACACCAGTGGACTCAGACCCCAACACTGAGGCCTAGGCACAGCCAGGCTGTCCCCGCCAGCAGAGGTAGCATCCAGGGCCTCCTGCCTCCCTCTGACCATCTGTCCTTGGAGGAGGATGGAAGGTGGAAGAAAAAAGAATGGGACTCAGCTTTTATTTCTGGAGGGTTTCTGGCAAATAAATGAGTGCCATCAACCTCATAAGAGTCCCAAACAAGGACCCTGTGCTGTGGCAGGAGTGGGGTCAGAAGAGTGCCACCACCCATCACCCTTGCTAGGCTGTCTCCATGGCCCTGGTGTTGAAAGTGTGTGGAGGGAAGGCAGTCGTCCAGAAATTCTCTGTATTTGGGGAGGACTTCCTCAACCTAATGTCATGGATCCCTTTGGGGGGAAAGGAAAAAAAGTCTGTTGCTAAGATTGAGGCCTCAGCCCAAGGAGATGACAGTCCTAAAAGAATAGCAAGGACTTCCCTGGCAGTCCAGTGGTTAAGATTCTGTGCTTCCACTGCAAGGGGCATGGGTTCAATCCCTGGATGGAGAGCTAAGATCCCACATACCATGGTGCGGCCAAAAAAAAAGAAAATATTTACTAATAGAACAGCAAGACTAGACAGAGTTTGGGTAAGAATGTGGGGCCAGACACAGGCTGACATTGACCAGTGACGGAGAGCAGATTTGTCAGCCTTAGCAATGTGCTTCATTGATCTAGAGCAGGGACTGGCAAACTTTTTCTGTAAAGGGCCAGATAATGGATATTTTAGGGTTTCTGGGCCAATTCAGCACTGCAACTCCTGCTCTGCTCCTGAAACCCAAAGGCAGCCACAGACAATGTGGGCGCAAATAGGCATGGCTATGTTCCAGTAAAACTTTATTTATAAAAAGAGGAAGAGGGGCCAAATATGTCCCACAGGCCATCGCTTGACCATCCCCAGCTGTTTGGTGGACAGCTGGGCTAAACTGCCTTTTCTCTCTTCCTTTCATTCACAGTGGGAAATTTGGACAGGTCTTTCGACTTGTAGAAAAGAAAACTGGAAAAATCTGGGCAGGGAAATTCTTCAAGGCATATTCGGCCAAAGAGAAAGAGAACATCCGGCAGGAGATCAGCATCATGAACTGCCTGCACCACCCCAAGCTGGTCCAGTGCGTGGACGCCTTCGAAGAAAAGGCCAACATCGTCATGGTCCTGGAGATGTGAGTGGCCTGTCGAGAGGTGGCCCAGGCACAGTGGATCTGGGAGCCCCTCCTGTCCCTCCCCTACTGTCCCATCCCCACCCTACCCCTCTGCTGTGATGTGCACGGCGCTCTGCAGCCCGTCTGGCCAAGTGCTGACCACTCAGAACAGCCCACTGTGCACAGCGCTGGTCCCGACCCGCTGCCCTCTCCTGCCCTCTGCTCGGCTCCAGAACACACTGTTGGGTCCTTGAGGACCCCTTTCCCCCTCACCTCCCTGTGAAAGGCCAGGGCTCCCCCTGTGCCTCCTCAGTTTCATTCAGGGCATTCTGACCTAAGGTGGTTTTAGAGCAGAAGTGGGGGATAGAGCCTGTGAAGCAGAAGGGGCCCCAGGGTTGGGAGTTCAGCCTTGCCCCTGTCCTCTGCTCTGTCCTGCGTGCCCCTGGTCCACACTGATATGCTCTCTCTTGACCTCTCACTCACCCAAGAGCAGTGCTTTCTGAGCTGGCTTGTATAGAGGCAGGGAGATGATCAGATGACATTCAGTCAAGGCTTTCCTGGATTCTGTTGTTTCTTCAAGTTCCAACCTTCTTTATCTTCCCTCTGAGCTGCTGGTCTGTGTGTGCATAAACACACACATACACATGACAGACACATACACACAAACCCACACACACAAATGCACATACTAGAGTCGGTAAGCCAGGCATCCTCCACAGTGTGTATTTTTAAAGCATTTCCTTGCTTTTTTATAATCTGAATTTTTAAAATATATGATACAATCATATAAAAAAAAAAAGAAAATATACAGTGAAAGTCTCATTCCCACACCTGTCCCCCATCTACCCCTCATTACCACTGGTAATGAATTTTGTTAGTTCTGTCTGTGTCCTTTCAAAGTTTCTTTATTGCAATGCAATTATTTGTTATTTATAGATATAATTCATACATATTTTCGTATTTCTCACCTCTTAACCCAAAGAGAAGCTGCACTCAATATTCTATACTTGGTTTCTTTGCATTCAACAGTGTGTCTTGGAGAGGCCCATACCAGTAGCCGTGGTTTCCTCATTCTCCCTTCTCCCTGGGATCTCATCGTGTGCATAGACCACAGTTTATTTGTCTTCTTTTGATAGAGACCTGGATGGTTTCCAGGCTTTTGCTTTACAAAAAGGCAGTGTTTGTAACCTTGTACATACATCTTTACCCTCATGCCTGCTTTACATCCCATAGAATAAATCCCCAGAAGTGTGGGAGTGCTGGAACAAAGGAGATATGCATTTGAAAGCTTTAGCAATATTCTGAAATTGCCTCCAGCATCCTTGAATTGCTTATCCCGAGACTCAGGGATCTCAGTGCTTTGGAGAGGACCCTGTTAACATCTCAGTGTTCTTTCCTAGGAAAGATGAGGCCTGCGAGGCAGCCCCAGTTTGAGGAGTGACTCCCTGCACTTCTTGAACCTTTTGGTGTGTTTCCTTTCAGTCTGTCCTTGGGGAGGGCAGTCATGATGAAGAGACAGACTTGAGTCTGAGCAACCTCACTCCAATCCCTGCTCCGCCTCTTGTTGTATGACCTTGAATAAGTTACCCAAGTGTGCCAGTCATTAGTTTTATTATCTGTAAAAGGAGGCTGTAAACCACCCCATGAATAATGTGGGGCTTAGATGGAATAACATGTGTCAGGCAGAGGCTCTATAACTGCAAGTTATTCTTAGGAGTATGATGCATTGACTTTTTTCTATATCCCAGTCTTTTCTCCACTTAAAATTATTTTGTGAGCATTTTAACACACAACTGAATCTGTGGAAATCCTACTTTTCAGGAAGCCTGGGGACAGTTTCTGTGACTGTTGAGCTGTAATTAGCTGTAATGATTCTGTAATTAGGAAATCCTTCCAGTGAAGAGCAGCATTTGATGAGACTCCCTTTTTAAATTCTGCAGTTCTGTGCAACTTTCACACATCACACAGATTCAAAGAAAATCCTCATTCATCACTTGGAATCAGTTTTCAACCCCAAATTCAAACTTCCCTCCACGCTTCTAGGGAAGATTGAGCCTGAGTCCGTGGCCTCACTCGTCACGCCCTCACAAGAGCCCTTCGGGCTGCTGCTCTTCACATTTATTGTAGAGCAGGTTTGGTCCGGGCAGCGTGGGCATGTGGGGACATGTGAAGAAATGTCTCTCTTTAGAAGTTAAACCTCGAGCAAGTTCATGAGAAGGTGCGGGAGGGGGTAGGTGGCAGCCCAGCCTGGATGAGGCCGGGCAGCAGCACCAGTGGGCAGAATACCATACTTAGCTTGGAATTGGGACTTGGCAAGCTGGATGGAAAATGTTGGGAGGAAACGTAAGAAGGCTTCATCTGGTCTGGCTTTCATCCCTCTGCCCCATGCCTCCCCCGTGGACAGGAGTGAGTCTTCCATGCACAGACACCAGATGATTCTCCTGCACTTGGAGTAAGGAGCTCGCCCCTTGATAAGAGCTCGACTAAAGTTGAAGGAGTAGATTGATACTCCATCTGTCCTTCCCTTCCAGCTTAAATAGACCTGGCCATTGACAGGGAAAAGGTTGGCTTTCAGCAGTACAATTTGCTGTTCCCCTTGTTTGATGGAGAAACAGAGTAAGAGAAGGACAGTCCCTGATGATACAGAAAAATGAAACTGTATTCCAGGGTTCCAGCTTCCAGATCAGCTGCCTCACATACACTGAGAAATCAGAGTTAAAGCATCTTCAGCCTTTCTGACCTCTGATTACAGGACAAGCCCCCATCACTGTAGCAGTGTTTCTCTGTTATAAGGGTTCCTTCAGACTCCTCTTCAAGGAGTCAGGGATGGTCCTTGTGGGACAGTCCAAGTGGTAGTGGGACCCTGAGCACCCAAGCAGATGCAACTTAGGCTGAGTCATCCGTTGCCCGTCTTACCTTTGTGCTACCATTGGCAAAACTGATCAAAGGAGAAGCAGCTGGCGGCCATGACACAGGAGAGGGTCAGGGTGTGGGGCCCCATGGAGTGGCATCCTTCTGGCTGCCAATGAGGGCTGGTCATTATCTACAGTTGGGGGATAAATACAGTCCCTTGGGATAAGGTGAGTATTCATTAGTTCATTCACTCTCGCTCTCACTGTTAATCTATTAAGTATACATTTCCTTGGCCCAATCTTGGCCCGTGGCTTTATCCCATTTCTGTGGATGGTAGCTTCTTTCCATCCACAGTCTTGAGCATTTGGAAGAGAAACTTATACAGAAGCAATAATCCTATTTGTGTAAGTCCTACTACCATCCTTGAAAATGAACCACAGGAACAGTTTTCAAAATACATTAAATAGATTTGAATTGGTGTGAATATATATATACCTCTGTTGAATAGGCTACCTCTAGAAATGCAGCAGTAACCATCTCCATGGCTCAGAATTCTACCACTCATTGCCACAGACATTCCCAAGGATGCTACCAAAAAAAAAAAAAAAATGGTTGCTTGCTTTTTCAGAATATTTAAAACCAAACATTTTGGAATACCTTGTCTGTGCCAGATATTGCCAGATATAAACAGGGGTCTAGAGATGAACCAGACTTCTTCCAGACATGTTCACAAACAACACTAAAAGAAAGCAGACTTGATGCAAAAAGTTCAGAAATGAGACTGTGAGAACCCCCAGAAGGAATGATCATATGATGAAATCAAGAGTGATTTCTCAGGGGGCGTGAATTTCAGCTGGCCTCCCAGGAGTGGTAATTGAGTAAACCAGTATTTCTCAAACTTATCTGATGGTAAGAATGACCTGGGGTACTCATTGAAAATATAGATCACAGACCCTGCCAAGATTTTCTAAATCAAAATCTCCAGGAGAGAAGCTTGGGAGTCTGTATTTTCAACTAGAGCCTCTTCTGCAACTGGTTGTTTTAAAATAATAATAATTAAAATTATTGAGCACTTACTATATGCCAGGCACTTTTCTAAACATTTTACCTGAATTAATTCACTCAGTCTTCACAGAAACCCTGTGAGGTGGTACTGCTTTTACTGACATCTTGCAGATAGAAACAGGCTCAGAGATGTTAAGAACAGCCTGAAACCTAGGAAGTTACAAAGGGAAATTAGAGTTTGATTTAGAGCCTGGGTGGAGAGCAATAGAAATGGGTTTGAGGACAGAGGCGCCACCTCCTGGCCACACAAGGACCTCCTTCTCAGTTGGTTCTAGCACCCTCTAAAGTGTTTGTTCCAGCACCCTCCAGTGGCCACTGGAACAAACCGACCTTTACCAGTTCAGAAGTGAACCTCTTTGTCCTGTGGTGATGGAAGCCTGCAAAGGCTTCAGGGGTCCCATGGGCCCCATTGTGCATCCTTGTCTGTCTCTCCCTCAAGGGTCAGTAACAAGATCCATTTGACCTGTTTCAGGTTGTCAAATGATAATTAACATGTTCTGAGCACCCACTGTATGTCAAGCATGTTTTACAGAAGTTCCTTCATTCCTAACTACTATGGTGTAGGGACAGGTTAAGTAACTTGCCCACTGTCACACAAAGGATTCAAGCTCAGCTATTTCTCATCTTTATGATGACTTCCCTTAGAAGAAGGAAGGCCCTTGGAAGAGGACAGGCCTAGAAAGAAGCCCACTCAGCCTTGTTCAGCTGATGGATCTATAGGCCATTGTGGAAAAGAGCGTACTGGTGTCTGGATGCTACATGAGTTACCAAGGAGAGCTTTAAGCTTTCTGAGCAAGGAAGGTGGGTTGGAGGGCTGGGAGAGAGGCCCCATGCATTTGCACTGAAGGGAAACATGTTGGCTGGCTGTAGCCTCTGGGCCAATCCTTAGCAAAAGGTGCCCACTGCAGGCCCCAGAACCACCACTGCCAGGATCCAAAGTCTATCCAGGCAGGAAGGATGTACTACACTCCCAGCCTGAGCCAGGGAGCCAATGAGACAAGTTAGCTGTGGCTGGAGGAGTAAACTGATGCTATAGGCCTAGCCAGAGGAAGCAAATTGGTCACAACTGCAAGTATTAATATAATGAGTTACAGCCAATGAATTTTAGAAAATGTGCTGAAGCTCCTTATTATTGGAGATATTTTTCTGTTTCTGGCTTTGTGAAGCCAGAAGCTTACAGAGACTGTATTTTAAGCTTCAGTTCTTTATGGCTGAAAGACATGGCTGGATGTCCCTCGCATCTATAGTCATCTGGGAGAAACAGGCTACCTGGCAGTTACCCTTTCTGCTCAGGAGAGCATTGTGGATCTCTCAGCTCAGGAGAGTGTTGTAGATCTCTCAGCTCATGACCACCTCTGAAATTGTCCAGCCTAGATGTTTCCCTGAATCCCCCCAAGGCTTAGCAAGCACAGGCAGGGTCCCCCAAGCAGGAAACCAGGAGGCCTGTGTCCTCCTCACACAGTGGAAGATTGAGACCCACATCATGGGGCAGTGGCCTGGAACTCAGAAAGCTGCAGAAAATGCCCAGCACCCCCAACCCCTGGGCATTTCTGCCCTTGACCCCTCCCCCAGCCTGCCCTCGGCCAGTCTCCCTGCTCCGATGGTCTGAGTGCCCGCTCTGTCCCCGCAGCGTGTCCGGGGGCGAGCTGTTCGAGCGCATCATTGATGAGGACTTTGAGCTGACGGAGCGGGAGTGCATCAAGTACATGAAGCAGATCTCAGAGGGGGTGGAGTACATCCACAAGCAGGGCATCGTCCACCTGGACCTCAAGCCCGAGAACATCATGTGTGTCAACAAGACAGGCACCAGGATCAAGCTCATCGACTTCGGTCTGGCCAGGAGGTTGGGTAAGTCTGAGCTGCCTCTCCTGTTGTCACCAACAGATCATGATAGTGGCTGTTTGTGTTCCATTCTGTGGGTATTAAGGGGGATGCACCAGATTGGAGCTGAGATCAGAGGCCATGGAGACTGCCCCTCCCACTTACTAGCTGTGGGAACTTACATCTCAAATTATCTGTAAAATGGGATAATAATAGTACCCACCTCATAGAATTGTTAAGGGAATCAAATTAGCTAATACATTAGAATGATAAGAGCAGTGCCTCAGGCATAGTAAGCACTGTATAGTAAAAGTCGCTCAGTCATGTCTGACTCTTTGTGACCCCACGGACTATATAGTCCATGGAATTCTCCAGGCAAGAATACTGGAGGGGGTAGCCTTTCCCTTCTCCAGGGGATCTTCCCAACCCAGGGATCAAACCCAGGTCTCCTGCATTGCAGGCAGATTCTTTACCAGCTGAGCCACAAGGGAAGAATACTGGAGTGGGTAGCCTATCCCTTCTCCAGTGGATCTTCCCAATCCAGGAATCAAACGGGGGTCTCTTGCATTGCAGGCAGATTCTTTACCAACTGAGCTATCAGGGACGCCCAAGTACTTATAGGTGTTAGCTATTTATTTTATTATTATGATTATTCTCACTCTGGTGCCTTCATCAGCAGAACATTTTGGTGATGGTGCATCCTACTGTACAGTTTCCAGAGCACTTTCACATCCTTTCCTTCATTTGATTCTCACAGCAACCCTGTGAGGTAGGCAGGGCAGATTTGTGAGCCTGTTTATAGACCAGGAAGCTGAGGTTCACGGTAACTTTGCCCAGCAAGTCCCACCACGAGCTGTGGTGGAATCAGGCCCTGGGTCTAGGCCAGGGTCCTCTGAAGCATCTCTGCTGTTCCTGCACTTGTAGGAGGCAGGGCATGACAGGGGAAGGCGGACGGGAACTTAGTACCCAGCCCTGGAATCATTTTGGGGGGTGATGGTCCTTTATGGCTCAGAGGCACCACCTAGGGGTTATGGCTTTTCCTGACTAACCTCCCAGCAGCTCCTAGGAGGAGAGACTTGGGACGCTGCACGTGGAGAGGTAGTGTGAGGAGCGGGCACACGGCTTAGGAATCAGACTACTGGGTTAGGTCCTGACCACCATTAACTGGGTAGGCGAATCAGTCCCTGGGCCTCCCTTTCCTCCTTAGGAAATGGGGGTCATGCTCCTTCTTAGGCAAGAGTATGAAATAGGAAAGTCCTCCTAAAGCAGGCAGCAGAGTACTAAGGACAGAGTGCATGGTAGAGGTTATTGTCAAGCATAAGTCACAACCCCTGGATTGGGAAACTCGTGGGAGAGACAGACACACAGAAGGCCATTCCATCTGGGGCAGGGCTGTAATGGGCTCTCCCCACTCCCCACCCCCACCCCAGACATTTGAGTTGCACATGCGTTTTGTCAGTTTCACTGGTGTGTCCGTGCACTTTTTCTGTGAGGAGACTGTTGTCTCTGTGCCGTTTTGCAAGGGGAGAGCCGCTGAAGGCCGGCCTGACTTGTGTCCCTCCTGGCATCCACTCACCTCGGGTTGGCTTAGGGATGTTCCAGTGATTGATCACTCTCCATCCTGGTTGCAGAGAATGCGGGGTCTCTGAAGGTCCTCTTTGGCACCCCGGAGTTCGTCGCACCTGAAGTGATCAACTATGAGCCCATTGGCTACGCCACGGACATGTGGAGCATCGGGGTCATCTGCTACATCCTGTGAGTCCTGGGCTGCACGGGGGAGGGCCCCAGGCTGCCCTGATGTTGGAGGGACCAGGGCAGGGCCCACCCAGAGTCAAGAGGGCCACAAGCTCCCAAGCCTCTCCTTGCCGCCCTGCCTCACTCCTGTGCTCATGGTGATGTCCACAGCCTGTGTCACACTTCTGTGGGAGGGTCTAGCTCCACGCACTAAGGTACCCATTCTGGGCCTGTCCTCATCCCTAAGGCTGGCCAGCCTGGGGCCTTTGGTCAGGAGGGCAAGAATATGGCTGGTGCTGTGTAATTTACCTTCACATGTGTTTGTGGGTCTGTAGAGAAGCAGAGAGGGAGCTTAGGTGCACATCTCCTGTGGGTGTCACCGTCATCCTCAGGGGACCGCACCCCATCCTCTTGGCAGCAGGACCTCACTGCCAGCCTCATCTCTGAGTTCAGTATATGGACTGATTTGATGATAGAGCCTTTAGTGGGGCCAACAGACAATAGAAAGCTACTGTGCAGTGATTCGAAGTGGGAAATTAGGTGGAAAATAGGGAGTCATTCGTTTACAAATGCTGCAGAAAAGCAAGGAGGCCAGTGATCCAGACCAGGTCTGCAAAGACAGTAATCTGTGTGAATCCCCTGGGTCTCTCCTTAGATCACAGGCTCTGATTCAGAAGTTCCGGGGACCTGAGAACCTACATTTCTGACAGGCTGCAGGCATCTGATGGTGCTAGTCTGAGCACTACACTTTGAGCACCAGACCCTAGAGCACACCCTCTTGCTGGAATCTGGTTGATTCAGTCTCTGAAGTCCCAGGTTACAAGCAGGCATTAACCTCAATGGAAACCTGAGCTTTGCGGCAATATACAGTTATGGGCTGGTTTCCCTGAAGCTGCAGCTGTGCATGTAATCATTTTGAAAAAAAAGTTCTGTCGTTAAAGCAAAAGGACAAATTAAACATTCTCATAGAAAACCTGAAGGAGACCTCTACAGTTACTTTCTTAGATCCCCCAGGTCTTTGGACTCCATTATGAGAAATGGCTTTAGGTGATTCTGTTGCACAGATAGGTTTAGGAACCACAGTTACCAATGCTTTAGCAGAAGTGAAGTGATTTTTTTGGTGCAGTGAGGCGTTTACATGTGCTCAGGAGTCTGACTCTCCCTGTGGTGTGTTAGGACGGCTTCTCTCCATTGAACCTGTGTCACAGGTTCTGGACCGCAGAGAGTCATGTTCTTCTCTGCTCAGGGTCACACCCACAGCACAGCCTCCTCCTAGGGCAGCAGAGGAGAAACTGTGACCAGGAGTGCATCTCCAGGAGAAAGAGAGCTGAGGAGCGAAGAAGACTACACCAGACTCTATGGATCTGGCCCCTTGGTAAATAGAGAGAGCCAGGCAGCCAGGGCTACACCAGGTTGGATGGTGCTCTCGGTGAGTCTTTCCCTGGGAGAGACACCTGACTCTTGAGAAAGTCTTTTGTCAGCTACCTGTGAACTGGCTCGGTCCCTGGGTCCCCCTGCAGCCATCGAGGAGACTCATCTTACTGTCCCCATCGGTTTTCCCACTGGTATAGGATCCGGATCATCAGTTTGGTCCTCAGGACAAACCTGGGAGTGGGGTGGGGCAGGGATTTGATCATCATTTGACACTGAGGTCATGGGGCCTAAGGAAGCACACACTTCCATAGTCCTGAGGGTGACCAGCTGTCTCAGTTCAGCATCACTGCCAGGTTTCCCAGGATATGGGGCTTTCAGTGCTGAAGTGAGGACCATCCTGGGCAAACTAGGAAGACTGGTCTTCATGCAGGTCGGGGCCAGAGCAGTGACTAGATGCTCAGTGAACATGCTGAGTGAACACAGCTATACTCAGACCCGGAAACCACCCGCTTGCAGCCCTCCCAGTACCCTGGCTCCAGTCACCCCATCAGGGGTAGCCTGATCCCCATTCTAACATCGCACACCATGATCACCTGTTCTTGAACTCTGCGTAACTGAAATCACACAGAGACGTGTCTGGCTTCTCCTGCCTCACGCTGTTTGTGAGCCCCATTAATAGTATGCTGTGTAGCTGGCTGGTCCTTCCCAGGGCTGTGTAGTGTGCCGCTCTGTGAGCCTCCTCCAGTTTACTCATCCATTCTATGCTGATGGGCTCTTGACTAGTTCAGATACCAGTTCAGGGTATCCTGAGTATCCTGGTGCATGTGCTTTAGTAAATACCTTTATGCATTTCTGTTGGATCTCGAACTAGAATTACTGGGTCCCAAGAGCACTTTATTTTAAAATGAAAATTCTTTGAGGTTGAAGAAGTAATTTGGATATCACATGACATGGTTTGCTAGATTACTTTTAAAGCTAAGACTTAGAAATGGGGAAGGACTTTTTGAAATGGGTAAGTAATAATTGTGATGAACAGGGCACCAGCCTAAAAAGATCTGGATGGGGTGTGAGGAGGGTGGAGAGGTGCATACCGAAGGGAGGCAGGCAAGCAGCAGGGGAGATGACACAGGCCAGCCCAGACAACCTCCCCAATATCCTGGCTCCTGCCTCCTGCCCCAGTGGGCTTCTCTGCCCCCTGGGACTTTTCCACTGACTCTCACAGTGGGGATTGAGGTCTGGGAGTCTCTCTCCCAAACTAGGGCTCTTGGTGGGGATGTGGTGTGAGAACAGAAGGTGGAGCCAGCTAGATGGTCTCCTCCCAGCCCTGCTATGTGGCATTCTGGAGCTGCTGCTGGAACCACCCCTCCCAGGCAAGGTTCTTTGGCAGCCCTTTTGTACCTCCCTCCCTCTGTTTGGAGCTTGGTTGTCTGTCTAGCAGTTCTTATCAGGGTCACCTTCCTTGTTAGTTCCAGAGGATACCCCCCATATCCTTTCTGGGGCCAGTGAGAGATGGAAAGTTGGGGGCCGGGTGAGAAGATATGTCTTTGCAGCACGTATTTGGCTAGCACCTCCTAAGTGAGCAGCCATGCCCGGTAGGTTGTTCTGACTTTGCTGAAGGAATTCCTCCTCACACCTTTGGAGAGATCAGGGCAGATCCTGTCACAGCACAGAAGACCCAGCCCCACGGTCAGCCCAGGGTCCCCAGGCAGGGCAGAGATGCAGCTGGCGGGGTTGTGGGGCCCCTACCCTCTCACCCCTGATTCTGAAGGGAGAGAAGAGATTTCATGAGTTTGCTGAGACTTCTGCTGTTAGCAATCCCCGTGTGGTTTCTGGCAGGAGGAGAGAGGACTGGGCTCTCTTGGCCATACTTCAACCCTGAAGACATTCTAAGGCCCTTTCCTCTCCTGTCTCCTTTCCCCAGTTTCCTGAGGCCTTGGTGTTCCTTTACTGCCTGTGGAGACCCATCTCTGTGTCCTGGTCTCACCCCTACTCCAGAATTCCTTCTCCTCCTTCCTTCCCTCATACCTCCACTCTGCTTTCTCCTCCCTACCATATTCCTGCTGTGCTCAGCAGCAGACTTCCCATTCCCAGCTAATTTGTGAGCATGCACCATGGTCCAAGGCTCAGCAGGCAAAGAATCCCCCTGCCAATGCAGGAGACACAGGAGATACCAGTTTGATCCCTGGATTGGGACGATCTCCTGGAGAAGGAAATGGCAACCCACTCCTCTATTCTTGCCTGGGAAAATCCCATGGACATAGGATCCTGGTGGGCTACAGTCCATGGGGTTGAAAAGAGTCAGATACAACAGCCACAGTCCAGACAGCCAGGTCCATTCCATCTGGAGTGTGACTTCTGGGGACAGCATCCTTGTGAATGGGGAGAAGTCCCAGTGCCCAAGCATCAGGTACCTACTCAGACTCAGATTTGGATGCAGGGCTCTTCACAGGGATCCAGGAGCTCCATCTAGACATGCTCTCTGACTCCACCTCCTATGACCTCCAGGCATCCCATACCCACACCAGCTCCAGAAAACACCTTCAGGTGTTGCAGGGACCTGGGCTGTGGTTAACATGACTAAACCCTGGGTTGCTGCTTCGTGGGCCACTACACAAAACGATGCCCTGCTCTTCCTCTGGATGCCCCCAGCCCTCTCAAATCTTCTCAGCATACCAGGGAATGAGTATCCCAAGGCTAAAATGGGAGAAAAGACTAAACCCTTCCTAAGCACTCAATAGTTCTGCTGGCAGATATGTGGTCCCCTTTGCTGACTGTTCATGCACTAGGGTTATCTGCTATTTAAAAGAATTACAGAGAAAGTATAGTTTAAGAGGCCTTTTTGCTTTTTTTCTCCTGATGTTCTGTCCTGCAAGCAGAACGGGTCTCTGTATCAGATTCCCTGGTGAAGTTTGGCTGCAGTAAGAGATTAAGAATTAAAAAATTAGAACACCCTGAAGTCATATCCTTTGTTGACTCATTAGCACAAAGACTAATATTTAACCGTTAAAAATGAACATGAAGACTGTATACATTTTTGAAAGACAGTGTCAAGTGAAGAAGAAGTAGAGGATCCAAGAACTTGCCCACATTGATTACAGTTTTGTGAAAACCAAACAAATACATTGGTTATGTTGGGAAGGGAAAAACTTTCCTTTACCCTCTTAGATTCAGTTCTTGGGGGCTTGGAAATCAAACTGACAAAAGACAGATTAACAAAAAGAAACCATTTAATTATGTACATATAATAAATGTTCATAAAGGTGTTTATAAAGAAATGTGACTCAAGGTGCATTTAAAATTTGGAGCTTATATACTACTTTAACAAAGAGTGATAAATTGTATAGAAATAACTGGACAAAGGAAAAAGAGGTTGGAGCTTCTGGAGGGGCTAAGTTGTGACAAGGTGAGGAGGAAATGTATAGAGACTGTGTAGCAAGATCTGATATGCAGATGAGGGTCTTTCTCCTCCTCCTGATAAGAGAAGAAATGGACAAACAGACCAAATGGAAATTCATGTCACCTTAACAAAGAGACATTTATGTCCTACTTTTAGACAGAAAGTGGTGGAACAAAGAGTTAATTGCCTTCAGCTCAATGTAATGTTTATGCCAAAGTTCACCTTTTGGGGTGGTGTACTCTGATCTCCTTCAGCTAAAAATTAGATAAGACTAGGAAAAGAGGTGAGTCATTGTGTTTATAATGATAAGGTTATTATGCTTGTTGATTGGGTTGAACAACCCAATCACATATGATCCTATGCAAATTCTAGCACTTAAAAAAAAAGTCCAAGAAAGGTTTAAAAATTCTGCAAAATCCCACCACCAAGAAACAGGATTACTAAAATTCCAATACTCTCTTTGTCATCATGCTCTGCATATTGTGCAAGTTTTATTTTAGAGACACATTCTCTTTATCGGGGGAGTGCTGGGCGAGCTGGGGCAGTCAAGGAGGCAGCCAAGGCTCAGGAGGATCTCAGATGAAGGGGCTGCCAGGAAAGAGGATTGCCAGAGGCCAGAGGCCAGGAGGCTGTCCCCGACTGTGAACATCACACAGAGATTAAGCCCTATTTTTGCAGGATTGCAGTTCCTAATTAGGAAAGGAGGTTTACAGAAGGGGGCCTTTCAGCATTCCACAGTGGGGTTGTTGGCTTTCCCGCAATCTCTTGGCACACTGCAGGAGTTTCCCCTTTGTCTCAAATGGAAAATGGAGAAGGAAGACAGAAGGAAGCACGTAGCTGAGGGGCAAGAGTCAGGCTCTATCTTAATGGGACTAGTCAAGGGCACCCCAGGGTCAGAGAGCCAGGAATACTGGGAACCCCTAGCAATTCTAGCCCAGTGCCCTTGATGTATAAGGAGGGACTCAGAGGCCCAGAGAAGAGAAAAGAGTATTACATAACTGCAGAGACTCCCACCCTTCCCTCACTGTGAGGTGATCAAGAGTGATTGTCTCTATGCCATCTCAAAACATAAATTACTGTCTTGCTTTAAGACATTTTAATGCCATCTATAAAACTCTCTTATTCAAAAGCACAAATATGTTGATTAGGGTGAGATAAGTCACTCTGAAAAGGCTTCTTTTTTTTAAAATGAAGATTTTTACCCGAGGGTTCTTCCTCCCATGGCAAGATTTCCTTGCAAAAATGGGACGGGTGTATTTCATAAGCTGAGGCCTCTTGAATGGCAAAACAGCTCCCAAAGGGTTTGCATTATTGTTTATGATGGTGGATTTGGGGCAGGGGATGTTAGTGAAGCCTTAACTGTGAAGGTTGACGGCACAATACATTTCAAGGGGCAGACAGGACCAGATACATAATTTGTGGGGTCCAGTGCAACATCAAAAAGTAGGGTGGCTTGTGCAACATTATTAATAATTTCAAAATTATGGCAGCAGAGCATTAAACCAAGAGTGGGGCTCGTCTAAGGCCTATGAGGCTAGCCCTGTATCAAGGTGGGTGGACGGCTGGATGGTTGGCGTGGAGATGAGGTGTCCAGGGGTGAGGCCACTAAGCCAGAAGTCTGCTCCATTTGACTTTGAGATAGTTCACCTTCCAAATTTTATTTGGCTCGAGCTATTGGTAAATGAATCATTCCCAGGATCACAGATTGATGAGGCAATGGGGGTGAACTATGTACAGAAGAGCTGTGTAATAGCTATGGTCACAGACCAAGCTCTTTACTGCAGATCAGGCCTCCTGCCAGTGCTGTAGGCTGTGGCTGACTTCATCTTTCTGGAAATGATTGTAAAAAGTAGCAGTTAGGAAGGGGCTCACTGATTGCAAAACCTTGGGCAAGTTATTTAACCCCACTTGGTGTGTCAGTTTCCTTATCTGTTAAACCAAGTGATGAGTTACCTGGGTTGAAGGGTGGTGTTAAGACTGAATCTACTTTAGCCCTCTGCCCAGTGCATGGCACATAGTCAACATTTGATAGACGTCTGCTGCCATGATGATGAGGATGCAGGAGGAGAACAGGGAGAGACAGTGTGGTGACCTCTCTGTAGTTCAGGAGCAGGTTGTCCATCTAACGGAGGAGGAAGCTGACACACGGAAATCAGGGTCCAAGGTCACCCAGCAAACGAACAGGCCTCAGTCCCTCTGAGGGAAGCTTTCTGGTTTGGCCTAAATGCCTCAGGAGCTTTGAACTTAAGTGGAGCTGCATCCCCAGACTCACACTGCAGGCTCAAGGTTCACCATCCCTGGAGACACCCTTGCTGAGCCCTGCGTGGGCTGGCCCTGTTCTTGGTGCTGAGGGTGGAAGGTGAGAGGGTGGGACAGGGCGGGGTGACGAGTGCTGTGTCACGGGAAGGTCCAGGGTGTGGGGAGGGGCGCACTCATCCTCCACGACGTTAGAGAAGGTTCTGTGGGGCCATGTTCTAGCCTGGCCATCAGGGAAGAACAGACAACAGGGAGGAAGACCCTGCTATACTGTGTGGAAATGGTAAACTGAAGAAAACTACTTCTGCCTCAGCTTCACAGGGTGGTGTCAACAGGCGGGGGGACATCCCAGAAGTACAGAGAGTGAGCCTGAGAGCTGGGGGTGCCCTCACCTCTGACCTCAGTGAGCGCTCCCCTGGGGGACCGCCCTCTCTGCCGCCGCGCAACCCTCCCCCCCCCACTCACTGCTCTCCTCTCTTATCCCCCAGGGTCAGTGGACTGTCCCCCTTCATGGGTGACAATGACAACGAAACCTTAGCCAACGTTACCTCAGCCACCTGGGACTTCGACGACGAGGCCTTCGACGAGATCTCTGATGATGCCAAGGATTTTATCAGCAACTTGCTGAAGAAGGATATGAAGTAAAGAGTTGGGCTTTTAGTCTTTTGGGGCTCCCCACACCCTGGACTGGGGTCCAGAGGCAGTGACTTCCTTTCCCTATGGTGGGCTCTTCTGCACCCGAGGACAGGAGGGTGGGCATGGTGTGTATGAGGGCCCAGAAAGGGGTCTTCTTGGGCCCCTGCTCCCTGGGGCCGGACACTGTCCTGTCTTTAGAAGCACAGACACCTCTCTTGAAAAGCAACCCCTGACTGAGTGTTGAGGGAAAGAGGCAGCTCACATATGAATAACGACAGCCCCTTTTATTTTCCATGTACAGCTGTAGTCAGCAGCAATCCTGCTAAAACCTTACCCCCCCTTCTAGGGTTTCAGGGAAGAGATCCTATTTGTGGGGCCTGATCATACTCCCAGCTGTTCTGGCTCGATGCTTATTTAGTAGCTATAATACGTAGGAACTGCCTGCCTTCCACCAGGTGCCTTCCACCACTGGTCAACGAGAATGTATCCCATCTCCGTCTCAGTCCCACTAACAGTGCAGCCTGTGAGGTTCCCCAGCCCCACCTTGCAGGGCTGCACAGACCTGCCACGGTGGTCAGTGGATGACTGTATAAAACATCTGCAGACATCAGGAGGCTGGAGTATTCAGGCATGTAGACAGCCTAAGGCTGTGAGGAAAGGTCAGATGCCCAAAGTGCTCGTCAGTATTTCAGTGAGAGCAGCATTGGAACAGTAGAGGAGGCTAGAGCAGAGGAGGGGTCTCGCATGTGGCTAGACAGGATTCAGTGGAGCAGGGAAGTGGCTCCATCACAGCAGGAAGGTAAGCAGGGCTGTGCATGTGCCGAGAGAACTGTCCTGCTCCAGGGAAGGAAGCAGTGGGAGTGTTAGGTGGGGACAACTGGCTAGTGGACTCCTCACCCGCTCTGTGAACAGGTGGCCAGATTATGCAAGGCCTGGCTTAAACACGGGGTGTCCCACTTGGCCATAGGAGCAGCTCTAGGCATTTCCCCAAAAGATGGTGAAATTCGCCCTCGCAATTCTACCCCCCTGCCACCCTGCCCCTCCGAGGCTGTCCCTCATCTTGCCTACTCTGGGAGAAATCCTATTTGGGACAGGAGAGTGCAGTTGCTAAAGGAGTGAGGTTAGGGGGTCTCTTAAGTGGTTCTGTCTGGTTTTCTAGTTACGCACCCACCTCTTTGTCCTTTGTAGCCGGTTCTGGACCAAACTCCTCACCAGAGCAGACAGTCCACACTCTTTGACAGTGATGTCCTCTTAGCATTTTGCTGTCCCAGTCTTTATATCAGAAGTAGGCCTGACCCAGGGAAAATCAGATGTTGTGGGGGGCCTGGATTTCCTTCTGGTGTGAGGGATCCCTGCTTCCAAGGTGCCCCAGGGAGATAGAAGCCTCCCTCCTAAAGACTCTGGTCCAAGGATAGCTTCTATCAACCAGGCTTCATTCACCCACAGTTTGGTAAATGAGGTACTATTTATATCACCTATCTTCTCATCTGACCTTGAGTTTATTCAAGTAATGTGCTGGCTCCTCTGTGCTTGTAAAATGGACTCACCCAAGAATTGATTTCATATAGATCAAGAAACTAGATTCCCATAAACTCAAACTCAGTATGTCTTCAACCAGAAATCTCCATCTATCAGCACTTTTTAAAATGTTTTCTATTATAAATGTATATAAATTGTACAAATTTTGAATATAAGGAAATTAAAATAATCCATATCCACTTATAAAGATCACTACATTTTTCTATATTTAGCAAATTTACTTTTACTCATTTTCTACGTATGTTAGCACTTGGTGCTTTGGACTTTACTAGTCCTTCTATAATTAAGGTGATGGCCCTGAAATATGTCTAGATTCCCAGAGCTTTCAGAAAATTAAATGAATTTCAGTGCAGGTCTAAGGTTGTCATAATTCATAGGTTGAACATAAGACATACCTCTTTTGAGTTTTAATAGGAAAAAATCTGATACTCCACCATAAGACATGAGAGTTCACTGATTTTCTAAGATTTGGACTTAAGGTTTCACTCTTCCCTCCATCAGACAAACAGATAGAAGGATCCGGCAGCCACAGCTCTCAGCCCTCATGTGACCCACCCTGGAATATGATACCAGTCATTCCAAGACATGTCTGTCCTCCAGCACTTAGCCTCTCTAGACCCCAAGGGTAGGTCATGAGATTCCAGCTGCCCATCAGTGTTTAGGCCTTCTTAACACTAATCTGTCCTGGGTCTAGTCAGTGTAACCCAGACCAAGAGAGGAAAAAGGCTAGGATTACCAAGATTCTCATCACAGTGGATGGATTGGGAGCAGACAGCCATGGGCTCTGCCCGGTGTATCTAGGGACAGGTGACCTCCTGTTTCTGGTCTGATCAGCAGCCTCTGAGGTCCCCTTCTGCTCAGAAATCCTCTGATCTCTGCCTCTATCAGAAACCGTTTGAACTGCACCCAGTGCCTTCAGCATCCATGGCTAATGAAAGACACCAAGAACATGGAGGCCAAGAAACTCTCCAAGGATCGGATGAAGAAGTACATGGCAAGAAGGAAATGGCAGGTAATGGCAGGGGTCACTTTGGACTGGTCTCTTGCCCCTCATAATTGCTTTATTCAGCCACCCTCATTCCCAACTTGCCCTGACCTCACTCCATAAAAATGTTTACATTTATTTCTGAAATAGCCTGGGACCAAGACTGACATTTCATGTCTCTGTGGGTAGGGATGAGCAATGTCACTTGCAGGACTACTTGGCAACCCTGGAGAATGTGATCTTGTTATAGGCAGTGTGATGGTTTTAACATTTCTTTACCATGAAGGAGGTGGGCATGTGATCTACAATGAGAGACATGGGGGGTTGTGCGTTACTAGCTGCAAATCCTTAACCAAGTTACTTAACCTTGCTGTGCCTTCATTTACTCATCTATAACGTGGGGATAATAGTGGCACCAAATCACAGCATCGTTGAGGATTATTTGAGACGATCTTCATCTAACCTCTAGTACATTGCCTGGCACATAGTAAGTGTTCACAAATGAGATCAGTAGCTAATATGTATGGAGAGCTGGCTATGTGTCAGGGAACATTCAAAGCACTTTCTATGCAAATTATCTTTTAATCCTGGGAGGTAGGTACTACTGTTATCCCCAATTCTCAGACAAACAAGGCAGAAAAAAGTTAGGAAAGTCACCCAGGATCACAGCTAGTAAGCATGGGAAAGTCAGCATTCAAACCCAGAGACTAACTCCAGTTACACAGTCTTAATGACACACAATTTAATGACACAAATTGCCTCTGATTGTTAGATGGAAAATTATCATCCGAATCCATAGAGAACTTATCATCCTCTATTTTATTTTTATTATCACTTCTAGTAGTATAAAATTCCTGGGCTGCTGGAGGGTACATGGTTTCTATACTCAGTGAGTATATAGTGAAAGAGACCTGAAAAGCAAATAGACATAAAAGGACATAACACACAGCAAGAATTATAAACGATCACTATAGTTCTCCATACCCATATATGTGAGTGTGGACAGAGGATGGAGCCAATCACACCAGAGTTGGATGTGGTTGTCAGGAAAGGCTGCCAAGGGCAGGAGTTTAAAGTTGGCCATGGAACATGGGTAAAACACAGAGAGGAGGGGATAACAGCAGTCGGAGGAAAAAGCTCAGAGCTATGAGCCGGACCTCATCCTGGTCATGCCGGCCTGACAGGAGAAGTCTTTTAGCTGGGCATTCAGGGGACCAGGGCTTTAGACCTTGCCTCTGTGGCAGAGAAAAAGAAATCACTGTTCTAGGGGCAACTAGGACACTGGTGATTTGCCACACAGAGTGACTAAACCATAAAGGTTGAGAGAAGCAGGAGAGCGAGGGGCTTCGGGAGTGCAGGTCTGAGAGACTCCACCCCCTGCACATCTCAGCAGACCCCCTGCAGTGGGAGTCAGTTCTTGGTTATCCCCTCCTGAAGTTGAGTGATCTCCTCACTTTCCTCAAGTACCTGGTGAGTGGGAGTGCCGTGCTGCTTACCTCACCTTCTGGTGCCAGTAGGATCCAGTGAAATCAGTAGCAAATGTTCTTTTTAAAAAATGGGGGGAGAGGCCACAAAATCAAGGGTTGGCTTTATGAATGATCCTGTGGCCAATAGATCTCAAAGAAATAGCAGTATTTCTGACGTGCATAGGGTGACTGGTGTGGGGGTGGGGCTGTTCTCAGAGCAGGAAATCTCACTGGGTTTTGCTTGGATGAGGCTCTGGGTTAAAGGACAGCCTTATCACGTCAAGCTTCTGGGAGCATCCACACATCTGCTGGTGAACCAAAGCCAGAAAGAACCTAAACCCAAGGGATAAGCGCAGAGAAGAGATATGGAGATTCCAAAGGAAATAAATGGAATTTTTCAGTCAGATGGGTCAGGAAACCATAATTTGTGGCGATATTTTAATCACTTACATTTTTTCTTGCTGTTTATAGTGTTATTAGCCATAAGGTTTTTTGAAAATGAGAAAGAAAATGAAGAATTCAGAGAAGGAGCATTAACTTCCTATTTTAATATAGGTAGCAGCATTTGTAAATAGCTTTTCCACAGAAACAGTGGTTAGGTTTCATAAAATTACATAGAAAAGTAGTCTACCAAATTCCATTCAACACATAATGTCCCTGAAGCTGGTAATAGTTCAGCTGCCTCTGACCATCTTGTGTTATATTTCTTCCTTAGGAAAATGTTTTCCACATTTTCAGCTCTGGATACCAACACCTTGGCACCCCTGGAGTAGGGGTTCCCTCTTGGAGCAACTGAGGCACAGTGTGGTGAGGCAGAGTACAGTGGAGGGGAATAGAAAGGGGTGCACTGTGATGGAGGGAGAGGGGCAGGTGGCCCAGACTCTACAGCTGCATGAGAAATGGTTCCTAGTTATCATTCAGGTGTGGTTTTCATAAAAGGGGAAGGTAGTAACATGGGAACAAATCCTAACAAGCAAGGCAATAGATAGATGACTAATCATATTACTGATCTTAGAATGAAGTTATTCTGAAAGAGAATAGGGTTGGTTTTTTTTTTAAATTTATATCAAAAGAATGTTGACAAGACACGGTGATGAGCAGTAGCATTGAGGGTGGGCAAGTTGAGCAGGACAACAGGGCTTCTGCATTGCAAAATGAAAGCAAAGGACTATGAATTGGAGGCTTGTGGGCAGCTGTCTTTGTTCTCTGAGAACCACAAAAACTTCAGTACTATGGACCAAAGGGCCTTGGGGAAGAGGGCTTTGGACTCAATATTGCATGGAGTACTCTTGGCTCTTCTTGTTGTTGTTTAATCACTAAGTCCTGTTTGACTCTTTGCAACCCCATGAACTGTAGCCTGCCAGGCTTCTCTGTCCATGAGATTTTCCACACAAGAATACTGGAGTGGGTTGCCATTTCCTTCTCTAGGAGATCTTCCCAACCCAAGAATTGAACCTGTGTCTCCTGCATTGCAGGAGGATTCTTGGCCACTGAGCCACCAGGGAATACAGCACTCCTGGCCATTACATTTAGATAATATGCATTCTCAGGGGAAATTGTAGTCTTGGGGCTGTTGGTGTATAGGTAGGGCCCATGATAGCTGCCTGGCTTTAGGGGGATCACCTTGCCTGGATTTTCCAGGGCCTGTCTCAGCTTTATCCCTGAAAAACTCTCATTGTGGGCAATCCCTCAGTCCTGGGAAACCAGGCTGGTTAGTCATCCTTGCTGCCTTTCCCAGGGGAGGGACTCTGTGCTGTGTTAGGAACACAGACTCTGCCTGCCTAGAACACAGAAACCCAGTGTAGGCAATTGCTCTCCAATAAGAAAAAAGGCTTCCTCAAGACAAGGATGGAAATTTTCAAGAATTGAAACTTCCTTTGGTGATGTTTTAAACATTCCAAAAATCTTGGTTAGCAAAGCAGCAACCAATTTTCAGCTTAAAGGCATAGAACTGGAAAGCTAGAACATATATTGTTCTTTTCCAGTTCTGATAAATAACTTCCCCGCCAACTTTTTTTCTCCATGAATCAGCTTCCAAAGATTGACTTCTGATGTATAGGTTATTTTTAAGATTTTGCTTATCGAGTGCTTACATTTCTCCCTGTTTTAGGAATTATATGGTCTATCGCTCCATCTGATGGAAAATTTCCCCCAATGTGTGGTCTATTTGTTATTTGCTGCCTCCTCTGAAATGTAACAGTTTGATTTGCCTTGTTCTCATAGCTTCCTATGAGTCATTTTGTTAATGAGACTTTTGTTAAAAGTCTTTTGTTAAAAGACTTCACTTTTCTACACCATACAAATGAAGACAGTCCTGCCCCCAGTCTGTAGAAGACTAGAGCTGCAGGGAGATTCGAATCTTCTGGTCCAACTCTAAGGCCCAGAGAGGGGAACTGACTTGTACAAGGTCACAGCATAATCAGTGATTAGAGAACTAACCTGTCCCTTGTTAGGAATGAACCATCTGAGTTTAGAGACTCCAGCCTAGGGCAAGCTAGTCTGTGTTGGATGAAGACAATGGGGAGTTGAGAAGGGCTGGTTAGGAAGTAGTCTAGTCTGATGTGGACTCAGTACAGAGGGCTGCTCTGGCTGACACCACCTCTGAGCCATTCCTGAGGTCAGGGTAAGCTCCCCTGGGAAGAGCTGGGTCTCCCCACACTCCAGCTAGCAGAACAGATAATGATGTCACCAGTAACAGCTTCTCCCAGAATAGTGTGCAAGTTGCCAGGTGGTCTGTCTGCCAGGGCATTCTCTGCAAGGCCACAGTGCTTCTGCACACAGTGGGTCATCATCCCTCACCTTCTTCTTCATCACCTCCACCTGGGGCCTCCTGGATTCCTTTTAGAGTGATCTAGCTTCACTGTGGGCCAGAGGGCCAGGGGCATAACCACACTGCACAGTGTGTATGTGAGAGAGTGGATGACCAGAGGACAGAGCGAGATGGAATGCCTGTCCAGAGTGCATGAAAGGACTCTATGGCCAAGATGGATGTGACATACAGGAAAGTGACTGTGGATACAGGAGTAGGTCTCTGCTTAAACCACACATATACACATTTTCTGTATGATTCCCTAGTACCCTGAAATTCTTTACTTTTGAAATAATTTTTTTAACTGAAGTATACTTGCCTGCCTGAAATGCTTTAGTGTGTGAAGTTAATTCAGGAGGAAATGGCTTTTCCAGCACAGATTGAGGTCCAGCAGGTAAGTGCCAGCTGTTGCCTTTGCACAGGCTATTTCCTTCCTCTCTCAGTAGCCAGTTTGTGGTGACATCTGCTCCCTGGATGCACAGCATCTGGATACCTCAGAAGATGCTTCGGGTGCAGGGCTGGAAAGCACTGGTTATGCTTTAGTTTCTTATCCTAGTCTTTCATTCCATTGACCTTAGGAAAGGGGTAGAATCTTAAAGGTGAGAAACACAGACACAATTAAGTATGGGTAGGGACTTCTTGACCTAAATCCTGTGCTTGGTAGAATTTTCACAATACAAAGAAAATGTTCAAGTCCTGGCATCTTTTTCAGTAGGAATTCTGTCCTCTTCCAAGGCGCCTCGACTCAGAAAAGCCAAGTGCTATGCTTTTCATTTCTTTGGGTGCTGCTTTTTTATGCCTGGGTGTACCTCAGGGAGGAACACCCCTCCAGAACTCCACTGAAGACTTGTGCTGAGGCCAGCAGAGTGTTTCCCCAAATCTCCTAAGTATCTGAATCACAAACAGAACTAGATGAGACCTAGATGAGACCTTGGAGATCATCTTGTCCAACCCCCTCCTTATAAAGAGAAGGAAACTGAAGCCCAGAGAGGTTAAGCCCGAAGAGGCTACTTGCCTATGGTCAATAGAAGGCTTTTTTTTGTCTTTCCAACAGGACCTGTGGGATCTGTAGTAACTGTTTTCTTGCCCAATTAAAATCCTATCACTAGCATTGTTTTATAAGAAACAGCCCCACTGGGCCCCGTCCGCAATAAGTCTTTGGAGCTGTCTCAGCCCGCAGTTGCTTTATATAAACTATCCCTTTTATGGGAGTTGAAGCACAGTATGAAAAGGGTTTTTGTCTCATGTTGACCTTGTTTAGTCACATTAACGCACACATCGGTTCCAGGCCCCATTCCATTCTCCGAACATCTTCTGACACGCTGATAGTGCTGAGCAGAGCAAGGTTGGGCTCACTCCTCTGGCGGAGCTCAGCACTCGGGAAGCCCTCATCTCGGGGACAACTGCTTCTCCTGGGCTGGGCTTTTCTCCCTGAGCTGCTCAGCTGGAACCAGGGACACCGCCTGAGCCCAACGCCAGTGTCTATTTTCCAGAAAACGGGCAATGCTGTGAGAGCCATCGGAAGACTGTCCTCTATGGCAATGATCTCAGGGCTCAGTGGCAGGAAATCCTCAACAGGGTCACCAACCAGCCCGCTCAATGCAGAAAAACTAGAATCTGAAGGTAAGGGACTCCAGAGAGATTTTCTTCAGCTAGATGGTGAGAAAGGAAGGGTTGTGGGTTGGAGGGGGATTTAGAGTTGTTGTTTTTTTTTTCTTTAAGGTGGGAGATTGATTTTATTTGTCATTAATACAACCTACAAGGAAAAATTCAAAACTACTTTTACATTGCCCTGACAATAATTACTAAATCTAATAATTGCTCTTTAACGGTTTCATCTGAGGTTGAACTATTTTCAGAAGGAAAGTTATTGTCTAATAGAACTAGATGGTCTTATATAAGAATTAACAAAGACTGCATGAAAAGTTTCCTTCTTATTACAAAAGCAATATTTGTATGACAGGCAGACATAAATAAGTTGCATATAGTGGTGTGCTTTTAAAAAATATGCTTCAATTTTTTAAATGTGTCTTTGTACTTGTCTTTTAACAAAAGTTAACTCAGATAGACCATATTTTTTGGTAGGTTTCATGATGCTGAAACATGTTGTTTGAATTGGGTAGATGGTGATTGGCAGGGCCCCTCCTAAAGTCCAACAGGGTTAGTTGCTTGCCCACTGTCTTAGAGATGCTGCCCCATCCATCTCCTCAGTGAAGGCCTCGGCCTTTTCCTGCTTTGATACATGTAGGGTCCGGCCTCTGTCATCTTGAGGTGCCTCATTTAGCCTGAGACACCACCTCCCTGCTGCCTGATGCCTTTGGTATCCAGAGGTGAGAAGCTGAGTCTAGATCCCATTGTGCACGAGGGATAATTGATGAAACTGCTTACTGAGCTGCCCTGATGCACCCGGGGACCAACTTTGCTGCACATGGGCCTGGTCCCTCCTTCTCCACGCCTGTCACTCCCCAGATGACCCAGAAATAGCCTGAAGGGGAAGGAGAGGGTCAGGAACCCCTCCAAGTTACGGCTTTCCCCTGGACCAATCCCAAATCCTGGTCCAGAGTCACACACTGTGAAGGCAGTATCCCTGTTGAATAGACTGCTCCATAGCAGGCAATAGGCAAGTCGACAACGCCTCTAATATCTGCCTCTTCTGTCCCAAGGAGCAGATGAAAGGCCTGCTGCTGCCACCACAGGAGGAGGGTAGGGGGAGGGCTGGTAGCCTGGTGCACTCCTGTCCTTCCAAGATACCCTCAACTGAATCCTGAAATGGCATGAAATGCAGCCAAAAATCCTTTTTAAAGATTATTTCCTTTTCCAATGTGTCAGCAATAAGGGAGGGGGAAGTCCAAACATTTCCCCAGTTTGGTCACAGTTCTCTCTTCTGCCAAAACCATTTGGCAGCAGGCTACCCTGTCCCCAGGAGAAAGGTGTGCTTATGATTCAGTCCTCTAACCTTATTAGCTAAATCATAACAACTAGAAAAAAAAAATTCAGTTCTTTTAAACCAGGGAAGAGGGGAGAACAGGGAATAAAGAAATAACCACATCCTCTTCCCTATCTTCTAGAAGATGTCTCCCAAGCTTTCCTGGAGGCTGTTGCTGAGGAGAAGCCCCATGTAAAACCCTACTTTTCTAAGACCATTCGTGATTTAGAAGTTGTGGAGGGAAGTGCTGCTAGATTTGACTGCAAGATTGAAGGTAAGTCTGTAGCTGTTCTTCCCTGTACAGGGGGTGTGGTGGGCTGGTGGGCCCCTACTGTGTGCCCTCGGGCAAGATGTCAGTTCTGGAACAACCAGGCTGTGAGGGAAAACAGGTCAGAAGGAGTTGGCCCGCTGCCCCCCTCTACCCACTGAAGAACAGTGCTGTTTAGTCACTCTGATATTTCACCCACTTACATCAGCCACTAGACCCAAGTTAAAAGTGGTTTATCATGGACCTTTTTGGCTCTGGAACGTGCTTATTGAAATAAGCTTTGCAAGCTTCTAGGAAGCATGTGAATTGACCACAAAAGGCTCTCACAGGAAGGCTGGTGCAGAGCACAGTATGGGAGAAGACAGCTCTGCTGTTAATCAGCGGCCTGTGTGACCTGGGGCAGTGTTTCAGCTTTTCTGAAGCCCAGGCCCTCCTCTGTAAGACTGTCTAATGCCCTGAGTGGCTCTGGGGACTCTGTGAGATGACACAGATAGAAAGGGGAAACCTTTCAAATCTTTTAAATATGTCATGGAGTTATGGGGGAAAGTTGTGGGACTGGTTAAGCGCAGAGAGCGCCTGCGGTATGACTTCAGACAGAGGGAAGTTGGGATGCAGGCCTCTGGCCTGTCTGCCCTGTGCTTCTCTACCAGCCAGAAGTAATGTGGTCACAGTAAGCTGTTGGAGCTCAAAGAGCCCTAAGGGATCTTAGCATAGCACCTGAGGAGTCAGCAGTGTTGGTGACACACAGCATGTAAGTTTCCACAGACTGCAACATTCTAGAAAGATAAGTGGTATGACAAGACAGGCCTCTCTGCTTCAAGTCTGTGACTGTCAGGTGACAGAGTTGCAGGGCTCTCTGCCACTTTCAGTCAGACCAACTGCCCCAAGGCAGCAGAGCACTGGACAGCAGAAAGAACAAACTGTGCCTCCCACATTCTAAGAGTCTCCAGCAATCGGACTAGATAATGCCTTTTAGGTAAAATAACCCAAAGGTAGGAATGAAGAAACAATTCTTCTCCTGCATCACTATATTATTAAGCTGGCTTATAAATGCCTGGCCTACCATCATCTTTCATGTGTTTCATCCAGTTGTTTCAAAGAGTGGATGTGCTGCCTTTGCTAGTGCGGAAGTGCTCAGAGAGGGGGCTCTGCTGAGAGCTTGGGGGCCACGGCTTGTAGCTCTCACCATCACCACCATCTTTGGGTCTTAAGTTCTTTTTCCTTTATTTTTTAGAAAATATCATATAATAATTATCTTTTTGCTTACTTTTCTCTTTGGGATTACTTTCTTGGTATTTGCATTACTTTGACTGAAGTGCTGAGGGGAAATTAAAGCATATGGATGCTGTTCAATAAAACAAAATTCTACTTGAAAAAAATGTTAGAATTCTTAAGTTGTTCTGTGTAATTTTTATTCTAGTTGGGGATACAATTTTGTCCTGTAAAACAACGTCTCCAAAAATTTAAAAACAAGTCAATTAGAAGGCAGAAAACATTTTTATTGCTGAACTTTGCAGCAACATGACTAACACATAAAATGAGACTAATAATCAGTGTGGTCAGTTTATCTACAGGCATATTGTGTCTTTGGATCAGATTAAGACAAATACTGCTTTCTTTTTCTTAGAAGTATTATCAGTTCCTCCAATTTATGTTTTACAGGTTATCACCCTCAAATTATAATTTATATACCATAAATTTCACCCATTTTAAGTATACAATTCAATTATTTTTAGAAATTTACACAATTGTGCAGTCTTTATCAGAATCCAATTTTAAAACATTCCCAACGCCCTCAAAAGATCTCTTGCACCCATTTTTACTCTCATTTTTTAAAATTTAAGTTCAACTTTTTTTTATGGCTACACTGGGTCTTTGTTGCTTTTTTTGCAGGGCTTTCTCTAGTTGCTGCAGGAGGGGCCTACTCTGTTACGGCGTTCAGGCTTCTCGTTTTGGTGGTTTCTTTTCTTGTGAAGCACGGGCTCTAGGTACTTGGGCCTCCGTAGTTGCAGCACGCAAGCTCAGTAACTGTGGGGCACAGGCTTAGCGACTCCATGGCATGTGAAATCTACCCGAACCAGGGATTGAACCTGTGTCCCCTGCATTGGCAGGCAAATTCTTACACACTGTGCCTTCAGGGAAGTCCTTAAGTTCAACTTGTATACAGGATAAAAAAATTTATTTTAATCCAAGAAGTTAGTTAGTTCTAGGGATGTGATTAGAGTTGGGGCAGTGTTCCAGAGAATAATCTATATCTGTATTAAGGTGGAAGGTGGCACAAGCCCTATATGGATGAGAAGTGGGATACCTGCACAATACCTGATGTGAAGTTTCAGACAGTAGTATTTACAATATATGCCCATATTTAAGTGTAAATATCAAAATAGATGCTAAAAGCTAACATATTTTCCCCCCTCTATCCCCTTAATCATTAGAGGTAGCTAAAGAGTTTGTGTGGGAAAACCTTAAATAATAGTTTCTGCAACTTGTGCTCCCTCCCTGTGATGCAGGATACCCGGACCCTGAAGTCGTCTGGTTCAAAGATGACCAATCAATCCGGGAGTCCCGCCACTTCCAGATAGACTACGACGAGGATGGGAACTGCTCTTTAATCATTAGTGATGTTTGCGGGGATGATGATGCCAAGTACACCTGCAAGGCTGTCAACAGTCTTGGAGAAGCCACCTGCACAGCAGAGCTCATTGTGGAAACCATGGAGGAAGGAGAAGGAGAAGGGGGAGAAGAGGAGGAGGAAGAGTGAAACAAAGCCAGAGAGAAGCAGTTTCTAAGTCATATTACAAAGACTATTTTTCTAAAGCTCAAAAAAAAAAACAAAACAAAAACCCGCAAGATAGTAAAAGCACCCAGTGTGATAGATTAGTTAGGTTATTTGGGGGTTGATTCTTCAGCAGCAGTGGTTGACACCTAGTAGCGTTATTGATGGGCATTACTTTAAATTAGCTGGTACCTTAAGATACTAGTACAGCTAGATTTCATTTGGGGAAATCACCAGTAACTTTCTGACTAACTGATTTTAGAGAAAAAGTAACCAAAAGGGAGCTTTATCTGGGCAAAGTCATAATTCCCCAACTGAAAGCACTCATGAAAAATAAGGCCCTCTGGTCACAGCCAGCCCGAGGGTCCCTGGATACAGGGACTCCCCAGCTCCTCCTCCAGGGAACTGCGTCTTCTCCAGGCCTGTGGCACTTCATTCTGCAGGCAGTTGAGCCATTTTAATTTATGAGGCACATTATTTCCAAAGTATACCATAGACATTTGAACTTTTCATTTCCATCCCCTGTTCGACCTGCCAGTTTTTCTGGATCTGGACTTGCCATGAGTTTAAGCATTAGGGACACTTCCTAGATTCTGAAGACATGTCTCCTGCTCATGGATGACTGACTTCCTTAAAAAATAAAATCTCCTTTCTTCCAAAATCAGTAGGAAATCTAAACTTATCCCCTCTGAAGATGTCTAGCAGCTTCAGACATTTTTATAAGAACCTATGGGGAAAAAAATCCTTGTTAATGTGCTTTTTTCCCCTGAAACCAGGATTCCTTTTTGTGCTGTTTAGAATATCAGCTCTGCATGTGTGGTAAAGATTTTTGTGTTTGAATGTATGAAAAAGCAGTTTGCCGAAAAGTTAGTCTTAATTATTTATTGGCCACTATGAAACAGCTTTCAACTGAAGAGCTATAGAACTCCATGTACTTTGAAATCTCAGTCAGGATAGTCTGAGATTAATATACCTTCATTTTTAAACATGTTCCAAACAGCTCTGTCTACCGTCTGGGTTCCACAAAGTTCTTTGTGGATGTGTATCAATCATGCCTTGCCCCCAACCTTGAAATATATTCTTAACCTGATACATGCACTCAGACTTGCATCTTTAGGAATTTCTTCTTTCACTACATTGGCACTTAAATTTTTCTTCATAAAACTTTTTGCAGGTCATAAACAAAGACCATAAACTGATATGCCTAATGCATTTCCTCTGTGTGTAACATTCCAAATACTTTTTTCTTTTCATCCACTATTTGTAAAGTGCAGCAATTTAATATTTCAAGGGCCTTTTAAAGAGTTCTATAAGAACCAATTTTAAATTACTTCAGTGCAATCCTACACAGTATCAGCATTAGAATTTTGATGTTACTTAGTCTTATGTTATCTTCCATTCTATTTTTATCTGCTTCTTGCTGCTAGTTTCAAATTGCCAGTATTTTGCTTTTTAAGCAGTTACAATATTTTTCATAATAGCCACAGTATTGCCACAGTTTATTATAATAAAGCATTTTAAAGTTTAGAGCATTCAAAGCTTTTCTTCATCACTTTTCATTGTATCTAGACTATAACCTTTGTGTGCGTGTATGTTGTATACGTGTGGGCATGTGTGGTGTGTATTTTTGTTTACAAGTTTTTTGATGCCTTCTTGAAGTTGTGTTAATGTTCTCCCAGTTTATTATGCCATCAGAATGGTAAATGAGAACACTACAACTGTAGTTAGCTCACAATTTTTAAATAAAGGATACCACAGTGCATGCTGTTTGTTCAGTCTCTGCAGCCTTCTTTTCCTTTCCACACCACCAGTTGTAGATGATCGAAATAGATCTCAGAAACTAATAACAAACTCTCTGCTGTATAAATGATTTATGTGGTTATCTTTTACTAAGGAACAGAATGACTTAGGCAGTTCTAGTTTATACTAGGTAGCCTAATTTGCACATTTACTTCAAAATTTCTCTTGAGCATAATTTTGGTTCAATTACATTCTAATATCTATAGTACCCTCATAGTGCTAAAATCTATCTGACATTTTTAGTATGCCACAAAATCATCATCATAACTAATATTACTTACCAACACTTGGTCTGCATTTGTAACTTTGGAGCAGTTTGTTATTGGCAGCCAAGTGGTATCTTTGCATGTCTTGATATTGAAGCATTTGTTCTCAGGAAACCATCATTCCTGTTTCATAGTAAGTCTGTTATCAGAGAACAGATGGTGGAGTCCCCCCATGTCTTGAGTATTCAAACAATATTGTAAATATTCTAGAAAGAATCAAGATATACTATTAAATGCTGGACTAGATGATTCTATGATTCCACAGTATAGTCTGGAAATAATCCATTGTCCAGATAATGTTAAATTGTTTCATATTTTTTAAGACAACCACAATCCACAAGTGTTCCTACTCAGAAAATTTTATTTTTAAAGAAAAAGACCTTTTATTCCTTGCTAGTGAAAAATGTACCTTATGTTCTGAAAAATAACAATTTCTTTTCATCCTGTTCTCATCCCAAACATATTAAAAATAAAAAAGAACACTGATTATTCCTTACATTGCAGAGCTTCATATTAAATGAATTTCTATGTCAGCTCTAACTTTACTTACAGAAAGTCTCTTTTTATCAAAATGTTTTGAGTTTTACTTCCCACATTTTACCTGCTTTTAATACATCTGTGCTAAAGAGTATTAAGGAGGTGAAGAATAATTGAATATTAAAGAAACTAAACTCTCCACATTTCAAGAAAACACAGGTAACACTATATCCTTTACCCCTTGGGAACTCTGTTTTTTCAAAAGGAGGCTAACATCTGTGACAGTCATTACTGAGGTTATTTGCCCGCAGCATATGATCAGGACCACGTTCCTGCCTCCCTGGCCAGGTAGGGCTGTGTGTCTAATCCTCGTCAGCGGTGATCCCCTCTGGTCCAGAGAATTTAAGTACTGGTGCAAGACTCTCCATGATTGTCAGATGGTGGCTACTTTATCCACCTGGGTCCCAAGCCAACCCCAAACAGGTACATAACTCAAGCAAGAAATAAATCTTCGTACTTATAAATCGCCAAGATTTTAGTGTTCCTTGTGGCTGCAACATAGCCTAGACTATCCTTTTATAAGGTCATCACCATATTCTAGATCTGTTCTGACCAATATGGTAGCCATGACTCACCAGTGGCTATTTAAACTTTTAATCTAAATAAAATTTAAAATTCAGTTCCTCAGTTGCACTAGCCACATTTTAAGTGCTCAATAATTACATGAGATTAGTGGCTGACTACATTATTGGACGACACAGATCAGAACTTACTATAAAGTTCCACTAGGCAGTACTGTTCTACATGGACTATGAAGAATAGAGAAAACCCAAATTTTACTTTAACTATGCATATTACTTTTCAAATTATTGTGAGAGTAAAACTTAAAAGTTGGTATGAAATTAGTCTGGAGAGAATGGTCTATAGTTTCATCAATTGTATCAAATAACAGTTTCAACATTTACATGATTGTGTTTGATTATTTATATTCACACATTTTTTCACTTTTTAAGACATTTAAGAACACCAGTTCTGTGCTTCTCACCACAAAATCTAAATAGATCTGCAATTTATGAGCAATTACTGAATTACTTGTGATATGAAGCAACCAGTTAGGCCAAAAATCTCTCGTGTTTTTGGAACTTGGAGCTACTTGGGATAGGGGAGCCTCCAATAAGGATCACTGAGATAGCAGAGAAAGAGACAGACAGCATCTCTGGGGCAAGATTTCCTTGACAGTGAACCAAAAGGAAGGGGAAGGGGCCATCCTGACAGCTAGAGTCATTTCAACCTTAATGGCTTTGATCATAACTCCCTTCCTATTGGAACCGGAAATACTCAGGAGACCTACAGCATGTGGAGACAACAGTCAATTTCTAACTGCTGGTTGTTTGAAATTTTAGCTCATAAGCCTTCTGGTATTCCAAATTCTTGTACACTGCAGGGAGGGCTTCATGCCAAAGACCACAGCCCCAGTAGTGACCACACAGAACTACATGATAAATCTTCACATTATTTGATTCTCTGGGACTAGATTTCTTCCAGCTGGAAATAACTAAGGAAGAAGAAGGTTACAAATTAACCTAAGTCAATTTCTTATTGCTAGCTTCTTTGGGGCAGACATCAGTAGCTTCCAACATTTAAGAGCCAGGTTAAGCTATAGGACTTCACCATAATCTTGCTCCAGATGGTATGTTACAATGAATGATAGACTCTGGTCAAATTCAACAAACATTTATTAGCAAGCCATTATACAACCTATTCTGTAAGCTCCATAATATCCCAGATCTATATCTCCATAAGGCACCTTACCTGTTCACTGAAGGCAAATGATGCAGAATACCAGGGTATGATATAACTAAACAGGTTAATCAGCCAAGTGGAGTCAGTTACAGATGTACTTCTAACTGGAGTTCTGGAGACTGTGCCTCAGTTTCCTCATCTATAAACTTAAAGTAATAATACTTCCTCCCTCACAGATTGTTATAGAAATTAAAAGAGCTCATGCACAATACCTGATACTTATGGAAAGCTCTATTCTTTTAGCACTCGGGAGATGCTAAGATGCGTTAGAAATATCCTCTACCCTCAAGGAACTGATAAAACTTCTGTAGAAACAAAACAAATATGTGGAAAAGTTATACACTAATGAAAGATGGAACAAATTATTTCAATTCTACCCCTCCAAAAAGAGGATCTTTGAAACTGAAAGTACCCATCCAATTGTACAAAACACAGTTGTTATATGAGTTTAAGAAATATTACAACTGCCCTGTTCTCAGGAAAATTTAACTTCTAGTCTCTAAGTACCCTCTTCACAAAGGAGAAAAGTTCATCTGACCTTTGGAGTCTTATTTTCTGAGGAATTTCTCACAATTGGCTTGACTTTAAACTCACATTTAACATTTAATCCCCAAATGTTTGCTAATTTTAAATTTATATTTACAAAAGTTAATTTACATTGGCTTATTTCTGACTGTATATTAACCACAGAACAAATAGGGCCCTGCTAGGCAGTTTCCAGAAGAGGCTGTGTAGATGAGACCTCAACATGCTCCTGTTTCCTGGAGAACTAAGAGATAAAAGGGTTTAGAAAATAGGAAGTTACCATAGTAGACAGAAGACCAAACATGAACTCCTGAAGACAAGCAGTAACTCTGTTCTCTTCAGAACCCCATTAAACTGAGAATAAAGGAATAATTTTTTAAAGTTATAAACCCCTCAAAGACAAACATAGGAGAAGAAAGAAGAAAAATATCAGAATTTTAGAAGAAGGAAAGCAAACAGACAAATGGGTAACTTAGAGTACAGAAGTTAAAACCTGACTTCCTGCAGGGAAGAAAGCCTATTGGAAGACAAGTCAGTTTTCCTCTGAAGAAGCCCCAAAAGGTTAGAAACTGAGGAACTATGTACCTGTGAAGGGGAACCTCAAAAGGAATGTAAGGTAACAAGTCACTGATGTAAACCAAGGTCACTGAGGTCAAATCAGATAAAAAGTCCACCCAGGAGATCAATGCAGAAGTAGGATGGGATACTTAGGACAGACAAGGGTCCAGAGTCCAGGAAGTCAGTCTGAATACATCAGTAGTACCCATGGTCATAGTACAGAAAATAGCCTGACTCTAGAAAGGCAATCGCTTGCTCAAGGAATTTTTGAAGACAGGTAAACTCATTTAAAGTTAAACTGGTTGTCCAAGAAACAAAATCATTTAGACTTTTAATAATGTACTGTTAATGAATGTATTGTATTTATTTAATGTGGAAGCACAGTTAACTAACTTCCATTTAATTCAACTTGCCTGACTTAACCACAACTTTCATTCCTTCTGTAAAATAAATTAACTGATGCCCACACCCTTCTGTTCTACTAACTTATGCCCACTAAATGAGTAGTATTATTTACCAAGAGTCAGTTGGATTAAATTTCTTTATGCCAGTTGTACAACTGTAATTATGTAATTTAATTATTATGTAAGTCAATAAAAATGGAGTGCTAAAGGGAAGAGAAGCTGTTTCTATGGAAACTAAATTGAGACTAGTGGTCATTTTTGGCAGGTTGGATATTTGCATTTGTCTCCTGCCTCCCAAAACCTCACTAAAATGAAGGTGAAGGCACAAAAGGCATTAAACCCACAGGGCAAAGAGTAAGAGAGGTGATATATTAGATGAGTTGTTGACAAAATTTTTGGATAGACTAATTGGTAATTAATTTTGTTTCAACTTGTTCCACTCTGCAAGCATCTATAAGGGTTATTGTTGTTTTTTATTCGCTAAGTCATGTCCAACTCTTTGCGACCCCATGGACTGTAGCCCATCAGTCTCCTCTGTCCATGGGATTTCCCAGTCAAGAATACTAGAGAGGGTTGCATTTCTTTCTCCAGGGGATCTTCCTAACCCAAGGATCAAACCAGCATCTCCTGCATTGACAGGCAGATTCTTTACCACTGAGCCACAAGGGAAGCCCATCTGTAGGGGAGAAAGCCTCAAAAGGCAAGCTGAGTCCTGAATATGGCTAGACAGTACACGTTAGTTTGAAAATCCCAGGCAGCACCCAAAATGTAACCCATAAAACTGTTGTCTCCTCTTCCTTTTGAGTTTCCCACCAAAGATTCAACTGACACAAAAAACATAAAAGAATTTACTGATTTTGTAAGGAAGGTAAATAAGGGAGTTCGCATTGGTCAGCATTTCATTTGAAAAATCCTCCGAGGTCTATCTCTTCTCCTAGGTTTCTCTCTTCTTTACTCCCCTCATGATGTTTTTATCTTTCACTCTTTTCCTTCCCCACTCTGCAGAGCAACTTAAGTATACCCAAGATAAGGAGAGAAAAAACCAACATGTCACTGATAACTATCCTCATTAGAAGACAGAAAGACATAGAGCTTCCCCAGTGGCTCAGATGGTAAAGAAAACATAAAGGGATCCATTTTTGAAAATTTTTTAAAAAGTCACTCACAAAACCACTCACTGGGGAAAAAAGCAAAAGACATACAAATGGACAGACCATTTTAAAAAACCCTAATGCCTTTACTTAACCAAAGATAAACACTAATAATATATTGGTATATTCCCTTGCAGATTTTTTCTTTAAAGACAGATACATCTAACCATTATAAAAGTGAGATCTTAGTACACAGTATGTATAGTCCACTTTTCTACTTAATATATTCTAAACAGTTTCCACATCAAATGTATCTCTGCATTATTATTTCCCAAGCTTCTTAAATGTTTTTCAAACTTGGAGAAAGGGTAAGAGAATAGTTCAATAAACATCCTTAAACCCTTCAGTAGAATATTGCTTTGAACATCTCACTTTTCTGCATAATTCAGGTCTTCTGATCAAAAGCATTTACAATCAATTCAAGAATATTTGTATAAGGAGCTGAAGGAGATCAGAATGTGCCACCCCTGAATATGCCACATTGGCAAAAGGACTATTTTGAGCTGAAGGCAAGTGAAAAACAGCAGATGCAGAAAAGGCTCTTTATCCTCCCCCAATTTGCCTAAATGCAGGGCATAAATTTCCCTTTCTGAATGTGTCCCCCTCCTGTCTCTTACATCAGGAAGAGCAAAATAACTCTTAACCATCAGACACAAGTTGACTAAACTCATCAGAGCCCAGAGATGGCAGCTACGTAACAAACTTTACTAAAAACAACCCTTAGTTTCCATTAGTTTTCCCCACATGCTTACCTTCTCACAATTTACTACCCATAAAAACCTAAACCCACTTTCCTTTTTCTTTTTTCTTGGCACTTCTCCACAAATTTATTGTTCTTTGTTAAAACGGTATATAACCCTCTGAGTCTGACCACCTCTTAGGGATTTTTCACTTCATTTCTGTTAGGCCTCCCATATGTATATGAAGCAAACCTTTTTCTCCTGTTACTCTTTTGTCAGTTCAATTCAAAGGGTGCCAGACACTGAACCTAAGAGGGTAGAGGACAGAGGATTTTTTTCCCCTCCCATACAGAGACATTCCAGGATAGTAAGCTTAGATATGTTTCTCTCCCCAGAGATGGTTCAGAAAAGTAAAGACCTCTCCTTCCCCTCTTGGAGAAGACTGCCTTACATTCTAGAATAAAGACAAGGTCACCAGCAGCCAAAGATCAGAGTTTCCTAATTTCACGGCTTGTCTCCTGTAATGCAGCCCATTGCATAGGCAGGTAACATCTGGTCTTCATTATGTTGCCCTATGTGGATGGGACTAGGGAACCAACATAAGATACTGCTCTGGCTGCTGCTTTTGCCATAAATAATAAACTGTGCTTTCAGACTCAGAGAGCTTATTATTTACATTGAACATATATATAATAGTATAATGTCTATATAAATAACATTTACATTATATATATATATATATATATATATATATATATAACATATCCTCTTCCTGCTCCTCTATCTGGACCCAGACCAACCCGCCCACACACACCCTAAGTCACAAAGTGCACCCTGAGAGATCAAGCTCTGCCCTCCTTCTCTTCCTGGGAAACCCCACATTCTATCTACCTGGTCCAGGCCCCAGTTCATGTGTGCCCCCATGGTGTTCAAAAGAACAGAACGTCTCCTCATTGAGGAGAAGAAGCCAGCTCCCTCACCTCAGGGTGCTGGAACTTGGGCTGGGTAACAGATAGCAAAGCCTTGAGGTTGCCCTTTGGGAGGAAGCCCCCTCAAACTGGCAGTAATGGTCTCCATGGACAAAGATCTGGGCCCCTTGCTGCTGCTGGGCCCTAAAAGAAAACTATATATTAAAATATGAGAGTGGTGGGGAGTGGGTAGGCCACCTTGTTAGCTTGCAAGCAGAGTAAAAACTTAAGACCTTTATAGTTTGACTTAACAATCATATCATTTACCACATTTGCCCTTTGTTCAGAATTTCTCTCTCATGCTTGTCCTCTCTGTTACACACTCATACACATACACACGCACACACACTCTAGCTTTGCTGAATCATTTGAAAGTAAATTTCTGCAAAATCATTTTTAAAGTCTGGATGGTATACTATTTTAAACCTCTATCATAATTTAACCAGTCTGTACTGTGAACATTTATTTACTTATGACAGTTTGATATTATAAATAGCATTATGATGAGCATTTATAACTAAATCTTTTTCACATCCTAAATTCCTTAAGATAAACAGATTCACAGACATAGAGAACAGACTTGTGGTTGCCAAGGGGAAGGGGAGTGGGCAAGGGAAGGATTGGGAGTTTGAGGTTTGCAGATGCAAACTAATATATATAGGACAGATAAACAACAAGGTCCTCTATATGGGAATAGAACCTAAAAAAGGGTGGATACACACACACACATATCTGATTTACCTTGCTGTATAGGAGAAACTAACACAACATTGTAAATCAACTATACTTCAATAAAAAAATTTAAGTTTAGCTAAATTCCTTAAGATTAAATTCCAAGAAGTATAATTATTGGGTCAAAGGACATTTAAGGTTTGAAGGTTTTCATATGTATCGCCAAGCTGCCTTTCAGACAGTGTATCTATCAATCTATACATTCAGTAGCACAGTTTAAGAATACCCATGTCATTATATCCTTGCCAACAGTATCATCTTTATCTCTGACAGTCTGAAGAAGAAAAAAAGAGGATGTCTACCTCATTATTTTAATCATTATTTGTTCATAAATGTTATTGATCTTCATTGGTGTGTTCATTCACCATTTACAAGGAGACCCTTTGCCTGAAGCTGATCACAGAAAGTCATCAAGTACTAAGATAGTTATCTCACAGTCTCTCATAGAGGGCATCCTCACTCCACATTGGCTCAGGTGTCAGTTTCCTCAAGCTCAGATTATTAAAAGAATAATGCGATACAACCTTTTCATGTTAGGTCATATCATTGGCCCTTCCACAGGCTAGCTAACTGGAAGTTTAGAGTGGAATTTAGAGCTTGAATTCTATTATTCACCCCTCCTTTTCTCCAAGTTTTTGTATGATAGCGAAACTAGATTAGGAAGGTGGGGAATGACCTCAGCACTATCGCCCAAGTGGCCGTTAACACAGAGTCCTCCATTTGAAAAGATGCCCAACATCACTAATTATTAGAGAAATGCAAATCAAACTACAATGAGGTACCATCCTACACCGGGCAGAATGGCCATCATTAGAAAGTCTACAAATAACAAATGCTGAACACTGTGTAGAGAAAAGAGCCCTCCTACACTGTTGGTGGGAATGTAAATTGGTATAGCCACTAGGGAAAACAGTGTGGAGGTTCCTCAGAAAACTAAAAATAGGATTACCATATGATGTAGCAATCCCACTACTAGGAAAATATCCAGACAAAACTATAATTCAAAAAGATACTAGCACCCCTTTGCTCATAGTAGCACTATTCACAATAGCCAAACCATGGAAATGACCTAAATGTCCATCAACAGATGACTGGATAAAGAAGATGTGATACATATATACAATGGACTACTCAGGCATAAAAAATGAAAAAACGCCATTTGCAGCAACATGGGTGCAACTAGAAATTATTATACTAAGTGAAGTAAGTCAGAAAGAGAAAGACAAATACCGTATGATATCACTTATATGTGGAATCTAAAATATGGCACAAATGAACCTCTCACAAAAGAGAAACAGACTCACAGACATATAGGAGAGACTTGTGATTACCAAGCAGGAAGGGGAAGGAGGGAAGGACTGGGAGTCTGGGATTAGCAGATGTAAACTATTACATACAAGATGGATAAACAACAAGGTTTTACTGTATCACATAGGGAACCATATTCAACATCCTGTGATAAACCATAATGGAAAAGAGTATATATAAAAAGAATGTCTGTATGTCTATAACTAAGTCACTTTGCTGTACAGCAGAGATTGGCGTTAACACTGTAAATCAACTATACGTCAATTAAAAAATAATAAACTTTAAAACTACAGAGAGCCCTATAAGGGTATGTTTTGGGGTGTGTGACCAACCATGAAGATTGCTGACATTTGGATGTCCGCCTTCCTGCATTGAAGATAGATTGTTCAGTAGTACAGGATCAGAATTACACCCCTCTTCCCTATCCACAATCACAGGCAGAGAAACTAGAAAAGAGAGAGAATGGTTCACTGCAGGGCAGAAAGAAGCTTCAGTCTGGCTGCCTTTCAATTTAATGACTCTGTGCACAATCTCTCATCCTCCAGTTTAAACATGGCCCAATGGATTTCACCGATCATAATCATATTACTCTCTCTTCTTCCCTGTGGAGCCAGATACATTTTTTTTCTGATATTTCCTGTGATGGGTATCTTTCATTTTTGGCCACCCAGTATCTAAACACACTTCCTATTTGAAGGGAATTCCAATAAAGAAGCTCAAGCGTGGGGAGACAGCCCCCTTCCCAGAACTACATGCTCCTACCTAAGACCTTGACTCTGGAGTAACACAGAAATAAATGGCAGTTTTGAATCTTTCTAGAGGTGATAGAGGGAGCAATAATGGCAGCATCCAATGCCCAATGGCAGTTATGCCAATGACAGAAGTTATTGGATACTGACCAGATTCTTCCTGTGCATTCATTTGGTCTCTATTTTTAGATGCCTAATTTTCCTTGGCTCCTATTGATGTTCCAAACCTTATTCTTCAGCTTTTTCATCAGTTTTGTGAGCTGCCCAACGTCCATTCAATACACCCCTAACTAGTCTGTTTTGTTCTTCAATGTTTCGATTCATACGTAACCCCTTCTGGACAGAAGTTGCCTTTTCTATGGAGACGGCAAGATGATGGAGAGGGGTGCCTCCCTATCAATTGCTCCTGGGTCATGTGCCCAGCTTGAGTCCAGAAGTACTGACTGTTCCGAATGTGTGGTAACAGTTGCCTCTCTATGTGTGTTACTATCTGTAGTCAGAAGGATGAGGATCATAGGGTACAAAATATGTCTACTATCTGTTACCAGGTCTTTGCCTGCCTTAACATCTTTATTAACCCAGATTAACTACAATAGCACCTTAGAAGATCATCCTCATGCAGTATTTCCTAACAGGATGTCTCTTTTTTATTATATGTCATTTACATATATTTAACATACAAAGTACATCTAACATATAAAGTATAAGCAAGAAGCACCCAAAACAAACATTTTAATGAATTATCACCAAGGGAAAACCTGTGTAACCACCACCTAGGTCAAGAAATACAGTCCTCCTCTTACTCCCAGGACTCCTCCCCCCGCCACTCTCCCTACTCGTGCCCCTCCCCACCATTCGCTATCAGGGTAAGTATCCACTGTCCCGACTCTCGGGATAATTTTTTTTTTGCTTTTTTTTTTTTTACATAGTTTTACCACCTGTGTATGAATTCCTTAAGCAATCATTTCATTTAGCCTGATTTTGAACTTTAGAGAAATGAATCATACTGTGTATATTCTTCTATGGCTTACTTCCTTCACTCAATGTTGCTTATGAGATTCCTCGATGTGACAGTTGAATGGAACTGCAATGTGTTCACCTGCACTGCTGTGAAATACCCCATTGTAAGATACTGTTGCTGTTGCTCAGTCAGTCATGTCTGACTCTTTGCAAGCCCATGGACTGCTGTAGGCCAGGCTTCCCTGTCGTTCTCCATCTCCCGGAGCTTGCTCAAACGTATGTCCATTGAGTTGGTGATGCCATTCAACCATCTGATCCTCTGTCACCCCCTTCTCCTCCTGCCTTTAATCTTTCCCAGCATCAGAGTCTTTTTTAATGAGTCAGCTCTTCGCATCAGATGGCCAAAGTATTGGAACTTCAGCTTCAGCATCGGTTCTTCCAATGAATATTCAGACTTGATTTTCTTTAGGATTGACTGGTTTGATCTCCTTGCAGTTCAGGGGACTCTCAAGAGTCTTCTCCAACACCACAGTTTAAAAGCATAGTAAGATATACCACAGTTTATTTACTTATTTTATTGTAGACTGACATTGTGTGGTATCCAGTGTAGGACTATAATGAACAATACTGATTTAAGCAGTCTGGTTAAAGCAGACTTAGTTTTAACTAAGTTGCTCAGTCGTGTCTGACTCTTTGTGACCCCAGGGATATGTATCCTAGGGATCTTTAAGGCCATGAACCTGGCATTAGAAAAAATAGTCATGGGATATGTATGTCTTTGACTTTCTTAGATAACGCCAAGCTGTTTTCCAATGTGAATGCGAGTCTGTCCACCTGCAGTCTGCGAGTTTCTACCACACTATACCCTCACCAAAAACTGGTGCCATCAATGGTTTCATTTTAGTCACTGAAGGATGGCTAATTGTATCTCACTGGGTTATAATTTTTATTTCCCTGATTAGTAAGGAGTTGATCTGTATTTGCATGCTTATTGGTCATTTATGTTTTTTCTTTGGTAAAGTCCCTATTCAGGTCTTCTGCCCACTTTTCATGGTGACTATCTCTTACAGATTAGAAGAAGTTTTCAAACACTGTGGAAACTAGTCTTTTATTAATTACACATGTGGCAAACATCTTTCCCCACCCTGTACCTTGCTTTTTTTTTTTGCTTGTTTTATGCCTTTTCATTTGAAAATGGTGTTTTTTATATCTTTTATTAAAATTCTTTCCTTACTTTTGAGATCATATTCTCTTATACCAATTCTCCTATACTAATCTAAACACTTTAAATGTTGATTTTTCACACCTTAATTCTAGAAATGATTTTTGTATAGACTGTGAGGTAGGGAAATTTTTTCCTCATATGAATATCCACTTGTCCCAGCATCATTTATTGAAATGTCCATCTTTTCTCTACTGTTTCTCTGTCATACATGAAGTTGACTATATATGTGTTGGTTTGTTCCCAGAATCTCTATTCTGATCCAATAGTCTATTTATCATCCCTATGCTAATACTATACTGTCTTAATTACTGTACTTTATAATAAATGTTGATATCTTGTAGAGCAAATTCTTCCAATATCTTGGCAATTTTTGGACCTTAAAAAATTTCCATATAAAAATCTCAATCTGCTTCTCAAATTACACAAAAATAAAAACAACTACTTGTGAAATTTTGATTAAGACTGCATGTAATTTATAAACTAATTTGGGGAGAAACACCATCTTTACCATACTGAGTCTTTCAATCTATGAACTCAGTATCTCTCCATTTATTTGGGTCTTCCTTATCATCATTCAATAATGTTTTATAATTGTCTACATAAAATTGGAACAGTAGCACAGAGGCCATGTAATTAATTATACATACACATTCAAAATTGTTGTTTTCCTGGTGAACACAACAGTTCATCATTATGAAAGACTTTATCTCTAATAATGCTTTTTGGCTGCCATCAATATAGATGTTTTCAATGTAGTAGTTTTCAATTACTGCTGTAACAAATTATCAATACCAAAAACTTAGTCATTTAAAATAATACACATGTATTATCTTACAGTTCTATACGTCAGCAGTCCAACAGAGGATTCACTGGGGTAAAATCAAGATGTTGGTAGGCCTGCAATCCTTTCTGAGGGCTCAACGGAAGAATCTATTTTGTTTTCCAGATTCGGGGAGCCCCCTTTCTCCACCTTAAAAGCCAGATAAAGATGCATCTCACTATTTCTTCCATAGTCACACCCCCTTCTGACTGATTCTGATTCTTCCTCCACCTCCCTTTTATGATTAAGGGGACCCACCCAGATAATCCAAGATGATTTCATCTCAGGATCCCTGACTTAATCATATCTGCAAGATTCTTTTATCAAAGAAGGTAACTTCAATGGTCTGAATGTCTATGACCCCCCTCAAAATTCATATGTTGAAATCAATGGGTAATGCCCTAGAAAACTCAACTTGATCAGTCTCTCGGTCAGTCCTAGCACTGGTATTAGCATTCTACCTTCACAGAAATCCTTGATTTCAATTTTACTGATTACTGTTCTAGTTTCAATTTACTGTTCTTTACCATCACCAACAAAAGTCCTCTCTCCACTTCTGGTCCCCACTTTAGAGATATCCTTCAATGATTTCCCGCAAACTCACCAATGGTTTACAAAGAATGCTTGTGATTTTTCTCATCTTTGGGGTTTTACCTCTATCAGTCTCAATCTGTCTCTTTTGGTAATGGAATGTGATAGGCTGAATAACAGCCCTGTCCCAGATAGGTCTATGCTTTAATTCCTAGACTGTTACTTATACAGTAAAGGGGACTGGCCATGTGATTAAGGATCTTGGGATGGGGAGATTATTCCTGACTACCTGGTTGTGCTTAATGTAATCTCAAATGTTGCTATAAGAGAGAAGCAGTGGGATAAAATCAGAGAAGGCATTCCAACAACAGAAGGAGAGATTGGAGAGATGGACCTGTGAGTTAAGGAATGCCAGCTCCTAGAAGCTGGAAGAGGCAAAGAACGGATTCTCCCTTGGAGCCTTCAGAAGAACCAGCCCTGCCAACACCTTGACTTTATCCCTGAAAGAATCATTTTCGACTTCTGACCTACAGAACTTTAAGAGAATCAATTCCTGATGTTTCAAGCCACTAAGTCTGTGGTAATCTGTCACATGGGCAGTAAGAAACTAATAAATGGGAGCTGATTTACTTTACAGATACTTTCAACCTATAACTATTTAAGAACTTGATTATCGTGTCTTAGTTCTTAAATTTCCCAGTCTAGTACTCAAGCCTCAACCATTTATTTAAACATATTTTTCTCACTTCACCTTGGTTATCCTTCTGTAGACACATGGTTGTATCCTATTACATTTCTTACCTTTTACCTTCTCTCACTTTAACAACATTCACCCTTGTCGTAACACCTCCCTTACTCTCTTTATAATTACGTTCAAGACACATCTTCAAGAAGATTTTCCTGACCTCTCTCTCCACACAACAATACTGCTGTGTGATTCTCAGAAATGGGTACTTAGACCTCTCTAACTTGTTTAACATTCTCGATTATTCTTTGAATGTAGCAATTCTCTCAATAGGAGACTGTAAGATACTCGAGGCAGATAACATGCATTCAGGATCTGTTGTTTATATTGGCTGTATTTGTTTTCTGTTGCCACTGTAATAGATTATCATAAACTGGGTGATAATCACACTTCACAATTCTGTAAAGTCTGAGATCAAGGTGTTGTAAGGCAAGTCTGTACCACGTCTGGAGGCTCTAAAAGAGATTTTTACATCTTTCAGATTCTAGCAACTGTCAACATTTCTCAATTTGTGGTTCATCACTGCAGTCTCAGCCCCTGTTGTCACACTGCTTCCTTTTCTGCCTGCTAGTCTCTTTTTCTCCCTGTGTCTATTCTGTTAGGATAAGTGATCACATTTATGGCCCACCAGGATAATCCAAGATTATCTTCCCATCTTAAGATTTTTAATTTAAACGTATCTGTAAAGACCCTTTCCCCAAATATAGTAACATTCAGATACTTGACATCATTGGTGGGTGGGAGGTGGGCATTTTTCAGCCTACCGTAACTGCCTAACACCTATTCTCTTCTTCTGGTAACAACTCCCTTAATACTTCTTCTAACTGGTAACACTGTCCTGCAACTAATACATTGTCATTTCACCTGGCTCCCGCTACAGAACCTCTGAAAGACCAAGTACTATCTTTCATTTAGGGTCACAAACACCAGTGCAACCTCGCAGATGCTCCATAAAAAATATTTGCTGGTATGAATAAAGAAGTATTGTATACCACTGTATGTATGGTGGGTTCCCTAATAGCTCAGTCGATGAAGAATCCACCTGCAATGCAGGAGACCCCTGTTTGATTCCTGGGTCAGGAAGATCCGCTGGAGAAGGGATAGGCTACCCACTCCAGTATTCCTGGGCTTCCCTTGTGGCTCAATTGGTAAAGAATCCACTTGCAATGTGGGAGACCTGGGTTCGATCCCTGGGTTGGGAAGATCCCCTGAAGAAGGGAAAGGCTACCCACTCAAGTATTCTGGCCTAGAGAATTCCATGGACTATACAGTCCCTGGGGTCACAAAGAGTNGGTCTCATTCTTTTTCTGAACCTCACCTTCTCTAACTCCCTTACCCTACATTTTTTGGTGCCAAAACCTGGGAGCTCAGTTGAGGTTCCTTCTCATTCTCCATGGCCAGTTCTTCGGATCGTGGAAGCCTGCGGAGCTCACTTTCCTGCCTGGACTTTCAACACCTCCTGGAGAGGGCGCCCTGTGCCTTCGTGAGTGGTACGAAGTCCAATGAAAGGGCTTTATTGGCTTTCCGCGTAACCCGAGGAATACTGGTTTCTCTCTTCCTCTTTTCCCTACACTTTCTTTTCCACAAGACCGACCAACTCCAGGACAGAGGCCTTTTGCCATTTGACCTCCCTCCATCCACCATGAATTCTCGCCTGACCCAATAGCCCAGGTAAGCTTGGACGGTACTCTAGGGTGCCAAGACTATCGTCCTTTCCAGGTTCCTGGGGAACTGTCCAGCCAAAAGGCCCTCTGGGGAGGTATGTGAGGGACACCCCTACCTCTGTCAGAGTCTCTCTCTCTCTCTCTCTCTCTCTCTCTCTGCCTGGTCAAAAGATTAGGTGACGACCTTTTCTCTCGACCAGACAGTCGCTGGCCATTTGCTATGGGGGTCAGGGCAATCCGTCCCACAGGACTCTCCCTTGGCCTGTGTAAAACGAAACCTCAAACCTCTGCTCTTGACAGATCTCAAGATTCATAAACTAAACTGCTGACCTAGTTCGGGACTTTCGATTGCAATATTTTATCAGATCTCACAAACTTCCTCAAATGGAATGGCAAATGGTTGGAGGTTCCCTATATTCAAGTCTTCTGGCACCTTAGAAGCCATCCTTCTCTCTGCAAGGATTGTTCTACCTATCAAATCCTCCTCTGCTCTCTCTCCCCCTCCATTACAAAAGAATCCAAATCTAAAGCCCCTAAAAGGCCCCCTAAACCCCCAGCCCCTGATTTTGACCCAGCAAATGAGCCTCCTCCCTACCGCCCGGGAAAGAAAGTTTCCAGAGACAAGACCCCGTCCTCCAGTCCTTCCTCCTTCAAAACAGGAAGCGATGACTCTGAAACCCCAAGAGATTTCCACCCCCCACCGCCACATCGGCCAGGACCTGAAGCAAACACATGCTTCTTCTAAGAGAGGTAGCAGGACCAGAGGGCCCTACCCGGGTTCATGTGCCTTTCTTAATTTCTGATATGAGCCAAACTGAAGAAAAATTGGGATCATTTTCAGAAAATCCTACTAGGTATAGAAAAGAATTCCTCTGCCTTACACAAGCATATCATTTAACCTGGAATGATCTTTATTACATCCTAAATGCCACATTAACCCCTGATGAAAAATGGATACGGCAGGTAGCCTGGACTCATGCTCATTAGCTCCATAAACAAGATAGGACTAATCCGGCGGCTGATGATGCAGTCCCTTTAACTGAGCCATGGTGGACATATCAAGGTGATGCTGGCATCTGATACCTACATCATATGATCACCTGTTTACTAAAAAGAATGCTAAAAAGCTCTCACATTCATGTTAACTAAGATAAAATTAGGGAAGTGACTCAAAAAGATGAAAATCCTGTCCTTTTTCTTTCACAGCTTACTGAGGCAATCCAAAATTACACTAATCTAGATGTTTCCACCCCCACCGGACTTCTGTACCTACCCGTCCAGTTCATAAGCCAGTCAGCCCCCGAAACTCGCTGAAAACTACGCACATTACAGAAGGGCCCTGAAACCCCTCAGCGAGATCTCCTAGAAATACCCTTGAAAGTTTTCAACAGTAGGGAGGAAGAAGCGAAAAAAAAAAAAAAAAAGGAAAGAAAGGCCAAATATGCTTTATTCACTGCAGCTATCCAAGGAAAAAATTCAACCCCTTTGGCCCATCAACCTCCGCCCACCCGTAGGGGACCTAACCCTCCAGGCCCCTGCTTCAGATGTAACCAAAGGGACACTGGGCTAAGTCCTGCCTAAATCCCTGGTCACTCACCAAACCCTGCTCCACCTGCAAACAATGAGGCCACTGGAAAATGGATTATCCTCAGACACTACCCACCAAATCTCAGGGTCCACCAACAACAACGGGCCAGAAACCAGACTCAGGGAGGCCCTGGCACCCCAGACCATGGTTCCTTGGATGAGGTGAGAGATGATCCAATTATGCCTGAGTTATTCCAGTGACGGAGCCCAAGCTCCAGACCCCAAGTCCGCCCCATACAGACGGACTCAGAGCTTCAGGTAATTGGCATGATGGCCGGACACAAAGTCTCGTTTCTAATAGACACTGGAGTGGCCTTTTCACTTTTAACCTCCTTTAAGGGCCCTCTCCAACCTTCATCAAATGGGTCTCAGGCATCCCTTTTTATCCCAAGATAGCCCCTCCTCTCCTTTGTTCCTTTGGCAAAACAACACTAACACATTCTATTATAGCAGTTCCTCAATGCCCAATGGCATTGATGGGATGTGATCTTCTGGCTAAGCTACAGACTTCTGTAAATCTCCCATTCTTAGATCCCGTATCAGTTCTTTACATCCAAATGGCACCCGAACCCCTGGCCAGCCCTCACTCCCAAAATCTGCCCCCTGACCTTCCCCCGATAGATCCTCAGATCTGGGACACTGAAGCCCCATCAGTAGCCAGACACCATTCCCCTGTGCAGGTCTTTCTTAAAAATCCCTCTTAAGTAATAACCCAAACTCAACATACCCTGACCACAGAATCCCGACAAGGACTTAAACCAATAACCTCCCAAATGCTCAAAGCCCGCCTTTTATGGCCTATCTGTTCTCCTCATAATACTCCTATACTGGCAGTCAAAAAGGGACCCCACTCCTGGCGTCTACTCCAAGATCTTCGCAAGATCAATGAGGTCATAATACCCGTACACCCCATGGTCACTAACCCTACACCCTTCTCTCAAATATTCCCCCTGACACTCTTTTCACAGTATTGAACCTCAAATATGCTTTCTTTACTATACGTCTACACCACTCCTCGCAGCCCCTATCTGCCTTCATCTGGACAGATTCAGACACATATCAATCTCAACAATTAACTTGGACTATTTTACCACAAGGGTTTAGAGATAGCCCTCATTTTTTAGGTCAAGCCCTTCAAAGAGGCCTACAAACTTTAGACCTAGACTCTACTACCTTACTCCAATATGTAGACGATTTATTGTTACGTAGTTCCTCTCACCATAACTGCCTAGTCCACATTGCAATGGTATTAAATGCCCTAGGCAACGGGGACTACAGAGTCTCATTCTCCAAAACACAAATTGCTTCCACCACTGTCAATTACATGGGATTACTTCTCACTCCCACATCCAAAAAATCTCAGCTCAGAGACTTCGAGCCTTGACAGAGACCCCCAGGCCCCAAACCAAGAGGGAACTTCTTTCTCTATTAGGTCTATTGAACTTCTTCCGAATATGGGTCCCAAATTTTGCCCTCCATGCAAAACCTCTCTACCAAGCTACCTGAGAAAACTTAGATGAATCTTTATTGGCCCCCACCTCTCTCCACACTCCAATAGAGACTCTTATCAAACATTTACTACAGGCCCCTTCTCTTTACTTACCTGATCACACCAAGCCTTTTTTCCTTTTTGTACATTCTCGACAATGACATGCCTTAGGGATTCTGTGCCCAAAAAGGGGGGACATATGGGGCCCTCTAGTTTACTTATCTAAACAACTCGATCTCGTCACACTCGGATAGCCACCTTGTCTCCAGGCCGTAGCTGCAACCACCCTCTTAATACCTGAAGCCCAACAACTAACCCGAAATGCTCTTCTAAATATATGCTCACCTCATTCCTTCAAAGATTTACTCTCTCATTGGGCTTTCCTTTCTCTGCCCCCTGCTCGACTACAAATCCTCCACACACACGTCCTAGACCCATCCCTTTCTTTCATGCCTTGTATACCTCTTAATACTGCTCGCCTACTCCCTACATCAGATCCAGAAGCAAAACACCTATCTCATGACTGTGTTCAGACCTTAGATATGACACTTAATCTATTTGAACATATAACTGATCAGCCCCTTGCTGACCCCACAGTCCCATCCTGGTTCATAGACGGCAGTGCCCAGAAACAAGCCTCATTTGGGGCTAGATAGGCTATAGTTCAGGGACAGCCCGACAAAGTTATCCCCCCTCGCCTCATTAAGTCAGCCACACTCCCAGCTCACACATCCTCACAACAGGCTGAACTGATAGCTCTTACACAACCTTTTACCCTAGCCAAAGACCAAAAGATAAACATTTACACTGACTCCAAACATGTCTATAACATATTACATTCTAACATTATAATCTGGAGGGAGAAGGGATTCCTCACTCAGAAGGGCACACATATTCTCAACGCTTCTTTTATTTCTGAACTCCTCCATGTGGCTCAGCTCCCAAAACAAGCTGCTGTAATACACTGCTGGAGACATCAGCGACATAGTCCTATCTCCTTTTATAACAATATAGCAGATCATGAAGCAAAGTGGCAGGCCTCCTCTGTTAGTTCTGTCTTTACTATAGCCCAAATTGACGAGCCTAACATCCACACCTTACTTTCATATTTACATTCCCTTTTCCACCCTTCTACAAAAGTACTTAAGACTTTCCTTCAGGACTTTATTGAGTTAACTAAGGACGATGTGACTTATTTAAATAATCTGACCCAAACCTGTACCATTTGTCAGTGGACAAATCCTAAGTCTAACATTCACCCCCCTCCTTTCCCCACCCACCAAATTCATGGACACCTTCCCGCACAAGACTGGCAGGTAGATTTCACCCACATGCCACCTGTAATAAGGGTTAAATTTCTCCTAGTCTTCGTAGATACATTTTCTGGATGGATTGAAGCTTTCCCTACTACTAACAAACGAGCTCCTACTGTGGCTCAGCTTATTTTTACTGAAATCCTCCCAAGGTTTGAAATGCCTTCCTCCCTCCAGTCTGACAATGGGCCCAAGTTCACACCCCAAATCACCCAAAATATTGCACGAGCCCTTCAAGTTCCCTGGAGGTTTCACACTCCTTATCATCCCCAGTCTTCCGGTAAGGTTGAGAGAGCCAACCAAGTCCTAAAAGAAACTGACCAAATTAACAATCAAACTTCAAGACTGGACTAAACTCCTCCCTTTAGCCCTCTTAAAGGTCCGGGCCTTACCAAAAAAAACCCTAAATATCAGTCCATTCGAGGTCATGTATGGGAGACCCATAATACCTTTGGGTCTTCCCCCCTCCCAGGACAGTCCCAAATTGTCTTCCCACCTTCCTTTTCCTTTACTTGCCCAGATACAAGATGCCCTCTGCAACATATGGATGACTTACCCACTCAACCACACCCCAATCTTCCATACCCATCCCTTCAAATAGGAGACAAAGTCTATATGGCAGTTCAGTCTCCCACTCAGATCTAACCCCCAAATGGCAAGGACCCTACATGGTAATTTGGCTGCAAATTTGGTAAATTGGCTGCAAAATTAAAAGAAATCACCCCTTGGGTACACATCACCTGGTTAAAAAAAGGTTATGCAGCCCAACGATGAAAATGCTTGTCAGACTAATACTTATCAAGTTTCTCACTCTCACACAGGCCCTACAGCTCTAAAGTTCTCAGGGCTTCCACTGGCCCCAACTGGTAACGGATGAGCCTATCAGTTTCACGGCTACATTTATTCCTGCACAACTTCTGGCAGATATCTGGGTCTCGAATCCTCAAGGATCCATGCTCAAACACATTGAAGATTACATCTCCACCCTGTGGCTACAGGGAACCTTTTATAACATTTACCCCTTTAAAATCCAATTCTTTTCCATAATAATCTATCTTATACTCACTTCCCCAAATGTTGTTTAACATCTTTTTCTTATCCTCCCTTCTTCCTCTGACCTACAAACTCCTTCAAATGCTAACCTCAACTATCTATTCTGGACCCTTAATTTAACCCATACTGTTCTCAATGCTTCTAACCCACAATTGGCTAAAGACTGCCGGATATGTTTATCCATAATTCCTCTGGGAGATTCAGTCGTCCCCACATCCATCCTCGACTGGACCACAGGTAACATGTCCCTACACCACTCATACTGTGGAGAGCCTTTATTTGTCTCATATCTTAAATATCTTCACACTAGTGACCAAATCAGAAATTCAGACATACTCTTAAAATCTTTACTCACCAAACTTCCCTCCTTCGACAAAAAACCTCCAATAGGAGGCCCTATTGCCCAGAAAATAACACTGTCACAACCAGCTCCTTTTTACATATTCAGAAATTCCCAAAACAGTTCATGTGACCAACCCGTGGACACAATCCCTAAGTCCATGTGCAACCATACCTCCACCTTACTCTTTGCCACTGGAAGGGCTATATATAATGTTTCTGGTCCTACAGGACACTCTTTAACCTTTATAGGATGGTTTCCTTCAACATATTGCTCCACCTCCCATCATTGAGGCCACCTTAGCAGGGTCTCTGAGCATCCTTGAATGAACGATCAAAGTGAAAGTGAAGTCACTCAGTCGTGTCCAACTCTTTCCGACCCCGTGGACTGTAGCCTACCAGGCTCCTCCAACCATGGGATTCTCCAGGCAAGAATACTGGAGTGGGTTACCATTTCCTTCTCCAGGGTATCTTCCCGAAGCAGGGATCGAAGCCGGGTCTCCCGCATTGGAGGCAGACGCTTTAACCTCTGAGCATCCTTGAATGAACGATCAAAACCTCCCCTCAACTCCTCTTCGCCATTGACTTTAGCTGTTGTATTACGAAACCTGGCCTATATTTCCTGTGTGGGACGTCTACACACCTCTGTCTACCGACTAATTGGACCAGAACCTGCACCCTTGTATACTCCAGTCCAAACATTTTAATAGCCCTCAATGGTCAACCCTAGCCTACTACTCTCATCCACAAACGAATCAAACGAGCCATTCATTTCATTCTCCTCTTAATGGGACTAGAAATAGCAGCTGAAATTGGAACAGGAACCGCAGGCTTAACAACCTCCATCCAAAACTATCAGACACTATCTAAAGACCTAACAGACAGCCTCCATGAAATAGCTCAAGGCCTAGTAACTATTCAAAATCAACTTGATTCCTTGGCGGCCATAGTATTACAAAATAGAAGAGGATTAGAGCTACTAACTGCAGAGAAGAGAAGTCTATGCCTTTTTCTAGACGAATCCTGCTGTTTCAATGCCAACCAATCTGGTATTGTCCAAGGAGCTGCAAAAAACCTTACAGATGGAGCCTCATGAATCCACCTGAGATTAAGCAATTCCTGGCAGTCATGGTTAACAGGCTGGAACTAGATGCCTTGGGTTTTACCCCTTCTCAGACCATTCATTTTCATCATCCTCCTACTCACCTTCGGGCCTTGTTTGTTTAATCTTTTCCAGGGATTCCTCCAAGACGGAGTCCGAGCCATTTCCCGAGACCAAGTCAACCTGTTCTTTTGCTTGAGACCCTGACGGCTAGAATAGAAAATCAACAGTACGGGCCTTAGACTTCCTTCCTCCCAGACCACAAAGCCCTGACCCTCATTTATCAGCACAAAGAGACCTTGAACATTAACGGTGCCCACCTCTCTTTCTCTTTTTGTATATATTCCTTAGGGTCTAAAATGAAGGAAAATTACATGGCTCAAAATAGCCTGAAGTTAAAACTCCCCTCCAGGTCTTCCCCACCATTCTATGCAAAACAAAGAACTCTCTCACCCAAAGGAGAAAAAAAAAAAAGACATCACGGTTGATGATGCCCAGCTGCCTCTGGCCGACCTCCGGAATTCCTTGCCCCAGCCATTTAAGAGATAACTACTCCGAACAAATGAAAAACGTTGGAGAAGAACTGGCCCCGTTAAGACAGTAGTTTTCCACATATATGCTTCCTCTTTGCTTGGGTTAGTGCAGCAGCTCACTAATCTGACTGCTGCCCCTTCTTGCCTCATTAAAGGTGATTTGTTCCTGTGAAGTACCAGTCTCTTTCTTTTTCCGAACCTCGCCTTTAACTCCCTTACCCTACAGACCTCTACTTAAAAGTAACTTAAAAGGCAGGGGATAAACCCTCGGGGACTGAAATCTTCAACCTACCTACAAGATAACATAAAGTGCAGTTCCCGCCGGCCTCTGGGTACGATGGGAAATGAAATGTGCGTCAATTGACCTGACCCAAAACGGGAGGTTACTCGGGGCCGCATTAGGGGAGAAGATAGGATCACTGGGAGAAGTCACGATGACAAGAGAGAATGAAAGAATCATTTTTTTAATCCAACATGGAGGCGGAAATTATAGGAACGAGAATAACCACGGACGACGATACATCTAGATGGTAGAAACAGCAAGCCTGCCCAGCAAGACCAAAGACAATATTGACCTAATCAAGATGGCGCCAGAGGTTATTCTCCGGTGGGCAAAAGCGGCGGTGATTACTCCGTCCTAAGATGGCGGTGGCGCCTGAGGCTCGCGGAGGGGCGGAAGGCGCCGGGAGCGTCTTTGCCCTCCTTCAAGATGGCGGCCGCCGTAGGCGGTTTCCCTGGCTCCGCCCCGCGGCCTCGGCTCCGCCTCTCTCGCTTCCTTCCCCCCGCCCTCTCGCAGTGCCCAGTCCGGGCGGTGGGGCTTGCGCGAGGATAGTGGGTTCCCGGCACTTGACATGGCGGCAGCTGCGGCGACTGCAGCGTCGAAGGGGAATGGGGGCGGCGGGGGCCGTCCTGGGGCCGGCGAAGCCAGCGGCTCGCGGAAGAAAAAGGGCCCGGGGCCTCTGGCCACGGCATACCTGGTCATCTACAATGTGGTGATGACCGCGGGGTGAGGCTGGGGCTCGGGAAGGCGGGGGAGAGCCTGGCCGGGGAGGGAGCTCTGCGGCCGGAGGAGCGGCGCGGCTCGGCCCGCCACGCGCAGCGCATCCTCGGCGGCGGGAGTCCGGGCCCCCGCACTTGGCCGCTGAGGGCAACCGAGGCTGGATCCTCCCCTGTGCCTACCCGGGACTCTCGCCCGGGCCGGGGGCCGAGCAAGTTCCCAGGCACCGGGTGTGTCCCGAGCTGGAGTTTCTAGGCTCCATGGGGGCTCGGGGAAGGCTGCCTAGGCGGTAGTTCGGAGGGCCTTGGGAGGACAGGTGGGCTGGCCACACGTCTAGGTCGGGGGGGCGGTGTGCTGGGCGATCCTGCTGCGGGGAGAGCCCAGGAGGCAAGTCACGGATGGCGAACTGTTCCCTCTAAAGGGAGTGGCGGGAGCTGTGGGTGCAGAGTGACCATTTGTTTCCGCGGCTGTTTTCAAAATCCACGATGAGCTTTAATGTGAAAGGTGGTGGAAGAGCGTTCAAAGTTTTTGCCCAGTGACATGAGCAGTTCTGTGCTTTAGGTGAATTTAGACTTTATAGGATGGGTTGGAGCAGGGAGGACTCTAGAGATGGAAGGCAGAGTTAATGGGGAGGAGGGGAATAGACCCTGGGAACAGATTTTACCCCCTCTAGTTTATTTCAGTCCATCCCTTGTCACAGCGAGTTTTGAGTTTTAGTTATGACACTGACTAGCTGTGTGACCTTGGATAAATCATTTAATTTCTCTAGACCTCCGTTTGTTCATCTGTAAAAACTAAAGAGTTGAGCTAGGCGCTCTCCAAGTTTCTCCAGTTCTTTGATCTCCTGATTTTTGATCACAAGATCAGACGAATATATAGATTTTTAAATTGTATTCATTTGTAAAAAAATTTTTTTCCTAACATGTTATCTTGAAAATTTTCAAACATACAGAAAAGTTGAAAGAACTGTATAATGAACATCTAATTTGATTTGGTTTTAAACTAGATAATACATTGGCCAGATGCAAAATTGAAAATATATGCAAGGGCATACAGTAAAAATCTACCCTCCTATCTTCCCTTCCACACAGGTTTCCTCCCTCGAAGGCAGATAATTTTGTGTACCTTTAAGATACTGATACAAGCAAATTGTACAATCATAACCCACCCCTTTTAAAAAATACAAATTCTCATCTATTAGCATTTCAGCATCTTGCTTTTTCACACACACACATGCACAAAATATATCTTGAGAAGATCATAGGAGCTTTATGACTATTGTTAGAAATAGTATTGAAACCTAGGCTCAGAGAAGTTGTGACTTGCTTATCTTGTTTGAAGTCACAGAACTTGTTAGTAGTAGTTCTGGGTCTAGAACCCATGTCTCTTAACTCAAAGACTAATGAAGAAATATTGCATGCAAGCTTGCTTTATCACATAAATGGTCACAGTGATTTTAAAAGAATATTCAGGAGTGTTATGTGTGTGTTTATATATAAAAATTCTTGTCATCTTAGTAAGGGCATTGTACTGAAGATAGATTTTTAAGATATATTGGGGAAGGTGAAAAGAGTATTTTTAAACCATTAACATAGAGAATAGGGTGGAGGATAAGAAATGGTATCTTAAACCAGGAAGACAAGTTGGGGATGTGAGAGTAAAGTAAGCTTTTTTCTAGGCCACTAATCGATAAAGAATCTACCTGCAGTGCAGGAGACCAGGGTTTGATTCTTGGGTCCAGAAGATCCCCTGGAGCAGGAAATGGCTACCCACTCCAGTTTTCTTGCCTGTAGAATCCCGTGGACAGAGGAGCCTGGCAGGCTGCAGTCCATGGGATCACAAGAGTCAGACACGACTTAGCAGCTAAACTACCACCACCAGTGCTGAACCAGTAACACCATTAAGGAATTCATTTCTTTTTTTTTTTTTTTACAGACTCTTGTTTGATGTCTTTGCGTGATAGTTTCTAGAAATAACAGACCACATTCCCCATTGCCTAGTTAAGATTGTATACATAAATAAATCTGTTAGCACCTTCAAGGAGACATACTTTAATAAAGGTATACAACATTTCAGTACAGAACTTAACAAATAAAAAGCTACAAGATCTGAGAAATTTATTTTGGAAGACAGTAGAACAAAAATGTGTTCAGAGCCATATGCCTAAATGCTTCCCTGTTTTGGTTTTGTATTAATCTGACTTTCTTTATTGAATTGATTTTGAGAATCTCAGCTTAAAAGCCTTTTATTCTTTTAAAAGAAAGCTATTTATTCATGTCATTTGTAGTCTGTTAAAACAACAGCTTTTAAGGTACCAGGAAGATACTTATATAAATAGTTTAAAACATCTTATCTTTACCCTGTTATTATTACAGACCCTTTAACTGCACAGGGCATTAAATTTTCCTGTAATAGTTTCTTTTGTCTTGTACTTTCTGGCACCTAATTTAGCCCCTCAAGGACCAATTTAGCTTATTCCCTTCCTTTTGGCCTTGTTCTCAATAGGCAAGGTTGCCAAAAAAGCCGAGCTCCAGATGGGTGAGGTGCCACTCTGCTTTTGCAAAAAGCACTCTTGGTAGGATGTTGCTGATGGTGCAGCATTTCTGTGCATTACATACAGCTTGGCATTTGAGGGTGATAATCCATAAATCCAGGACAGATTCTTGAGGTCACCTTTGGCAGTATCTGTCTTTGCCATGTTTTTCTATTATAATCCTACTTAACTTTTTTTTTTTTTTCTGATTGCTCTTTTTCTTAGGTGGCTCGTTATAGCAGTTGGTCTGGTCAGAGCATACCTGGCTAAGGGCAGCTATCATAGCCTTTATTATTCCATTGAAAAGCCTTTGAAATTCTTCCAAACTGGAGCCTTATTGGAGGTGGGTCCTGAGATTTGTTGTTGTTGATTTCTATTGTAAAATTAAAGACAAGCTACTAAATTATATTGAAGTAGCCATGTTTCTGTTGGATTTGCTTTAAATGTTAAAAACTTGCCTCATAGTATGCTATGTATAATGTTGATGTCTGATTTATCTTTTTGACCAGGTAAAGTAGATCTCATTTAACTTGCATTACCTGGAATGTATTTTACATTCAACTTTTATTGGAAATCAAATTAAACAAACTTATATTAGGTTTAAAAAAGTTCCAGGAAAATTCTAAGGAACTGCTAGCAAACTTGGATATTCTCGGGGCCTGGCATATAATGGGCACAGTGATGTTATTGAATGTAGGATGTCAGGAGTGATAGATATAAGAATAGTAGAGACTGTCTAGAAGCCTCCAAAATTTTTTTAAAACAAAGGTTTATTAATTTCTCTGTATTAAGGATAATGTGTATATCCATTCCTTTCTTCTGGGTTAAGTACATTAGGATTTTTGAGTGGCAAGTGACAGAAGCCCAATTCAAATTATTTTAAGCAAAAGGAAATTTATTTGCTTCCATAGTTGGTAAAGATATAGGGTTAACTTACAAAATCAAAGGAACCAGCTCAGGAATGAGGAATGAAAACCAAGGATTTGATGTTGCCAGACTCTCTTTCCATCTCTCATCTCTGCTTCTCTGTTTCTCTTTGAATATTGGTCTTAGGCTCTCCTACTGCAGATTGCCTTCTCCACATGGTGTGAGAGAGCTTATTTTTCTTAGCGTCAGGGAAGGATTCTGGTTTGCTTTACTTAGAACAATTACTCTTGCCAGTGATGTGAGATACTTGATTAGTCAGATCTAGGGCACATCCTTCTGGCCAAGAAACTGTAGACTTTGTTAATGGAAAAAGGAAGATGAGATAGCTTTGGACACACAAAATAGCTGCCATAGTTCATTATGGTGAAAATTTTTCAGGTTGCAGAGATCTGGTATTCAGTTTCATTTCACTTATCCTCTAGGCTAAGCCCATCATGATGTTTGGAAGGATATTTAAGAAAAGACCATTTCTCTCTATGAAATAAAATGTGTTACTTCTACCTCTCCCCCTAATTTTTGAAAGCAGAAAGTTAACAGTTTTTGTTTTTTCCTCTCAGAAAGCAGAGAGATTTCGATACTGTCTTTCCTTATACATTTAAGGTAGATAGTATGATGTAAAGAGCCTACAGCCGGAGCTTGAGTGCCTTATTCTAAGCATGCTAGTTTTACTAATTTACTTTGTGAATTTGGGTGTGTCATTTATCTCTTGTCCACCTCTTTCTCATTTGTAGAATAATTAGGTGGAAGTAGATTTGTAAAGTTCCTTTCTACCCTAATAGCTTAAGGAAAGTTTAGCAAATAGCTTAGGCCATGTTTTAAACTTGGAGGCTGAAATAAGTAGAACTTGTCTCCCGGACCTTTGGCCCACACAGTTCTCTAAAGCTACAGAGAAGCAAATTTGGAATCAAGACCATTAGAAACTGCCTCAGTGCTTGATACAGTAAGAAATTGTACCCTATTGGAATAATGTAGTAATTTAAAGGGGATTCCATCTCTGTAAGACTTGGTAATATTAGAGGTATAATTTTTAAAATTTAAGAATATCTGAGGGAAGGTAGTGACCTTAAATAGTGTGATACAAAAATCCACTTAGGAACCAAATCTTAGCCTGGGAGGGATTAGCCCATTTATCCTTATAGAATTTTTAATAGGGTTTTAAGAAAATACTTTGGAGTTTTGGTTTTATCTTTATTATCCCCAGTAAAAACCAATTTGGTGACAAATCCTGGATTTGATTC